AGCAAACATGTGCTGTCACACAGACGGTGAGGAAGACACATAGCAGAGTGAGGAAGCACAGTAAGGCCGTGCATACTAAGGATGCCCTGTCTCTAGCACACAGCACAGAAGTCACCAAATGACCCCAAAAAACGTTTTGGGGTCATTTAAGCAAAAATGTAATTTGCCATCAATATCTAATTGAATAGTGTTGTGTTCTGCTCACCTGTGAGGATAAAGTAATGGATGAATGATGACTACAACAATGTGTGGCTTAATGAATTCTATGCAATTTCTCAGAAATCACGTCTTTACAATGAAATTGTGTTTTTGATAAAAGTTCTCTTCAGTGATGACTCGTTTTTCTAAAGGTCATAATCTCTTGTATTTGATTACTGTGTACTGCATGTTCAGATATCTCTTTTTAAGTAATGCCGTAATTCAGAATATTCTAAGTTTTACGTATTTTAACCTCTCATACTACACTCTGTTGCCAGTTTATTACGTACTTCCAGTGAAAAGTAATGCAGTTTAATACAAATATCCAGCAATAAATATTTAGTTTTGGTTGAAACTGTTTTAGAAAGGTTTTGATTGCACTTTATTGTAATTTGGGGTGCTGTTGAATTGTATTGCATTATATATAGGCTACACTTTATTGCCAAAAGTTTTAGGATACCCATCCAAGTCATTTAATTTCAAGTGTTCCAATCACTTCCATGGCCACAGGTGTATAAAATCAAGCACCTAAACATGCAGACCAAAAAAGAAAAGGGTCACTCTTAGGAGCTCAGTAAGTTCAAGCATGGTACCGTGATAGGTTGCCACCTGTGCAGTAAGTCCATTCGTGAATTTTCTTCACTACTAAATATTCCACGGTTAACTGGTATTATAACAAAGTGGAAGCGATGGGAACAACAGAAACTCAGCCAAGAAGTTGTAGGCCACATACAATCACAGAGCAGGGTTAGTGCATGCTGAGGCGCACAGAGCGCAGAAGTTGCCAACTTTCTGCAGAGTCAATATCTACAAACCTCTAAACGTCATGTGGCCTTCGGATTAACTCAAGAACAGTGCATAGAGAGCTTCATGACATGGGTTTCCATGGCCGAGCAGCTGCATCCAAGCCTTACATCACCAAGTGCAATGCAAAGCGTTGCGCAGTGGTATAAAGCACGATGCCACTGGACACTAGAGCAGCGGAGATGTGTTCTCTGGAGTGACAAATCACGCTTTTCTGTCTGGGCTTGGTCCCTTAGTTCCAGTGAAAGGAACTGTTAATGCTTCAGCATACCAAGACATTTTGGACAATTTCATGCCCACAGCTTTGTGGACAGTTTGGGGATGGCCCCTTCCTGTTCCAACATGACTGCGCACATTTGGGATGAATTAGAGCAGAGACTGCGAGCCAGGTATTCTCCAACATCTGTGCCTGACCTCACAAATGTTCTTCTAGAAGAATAATCAAAAATTCCCATGAACACACTCCTAACCCTTGTGGACAGCCTTCCCAGAAAAGTTGAAGCTGTTACAGCTGCAATGGGTGGGCCAACTCCATGGAATAAGATTGAGATGTCATTAATCTTCATGTGCATGTAAAGGCAGGCGACTCTAAAATTGTGGTTTAAAGATTCATCAGTATGACCAGGTTTATATTCATATGTATGCAGTTGTGTCTTGATTTGTTAGTATCTAAGCCACTTTGTTCTGTACCAACAGAAGATGAAACTTAGATAAGCCACAGTATCCTGTTTTTTTTATCAGAGTACTCAAGGTAGCAAAACCAGGTTTCTCAAACCTGGGAAAAACATGTTTACAGGTGGGAGATTGACTGTCTGGTGACGTGGAGTGAACAGAAAAACTTGGAGCTAAAGACAGTTAAGACTAAGAATGCACCAATCCGATACTGATACTGGTCCGATACTGACTCAAATAGCTAGATCGGGTATTGGTGACAAGGGGGGCGACGTACAGGGCTGACCTATTCAATATAATTACATGTGTACTACACATTGCGTGAGCAATGCACCGGTAGACCCGAACATTTTGCTAGATGAGCTAACAGCACACCTCCAGGACCCCGAGGTAAGCAGGAAAAACTGTGGCTGACTTTGGGATTATTATCTCTGTACATTGCACATATTCTTTATACTTCATACTATGAACTTTGCACATACCTGCACAAAACTGAACAGCTCTTTTTATTTTAAAAAACAGATATATAGTACAGCTTTGTCGCTTATTTTTCCATTTCATATTTATGTTTTTTGACTTTGCAGCACTTGCTTCATACATATAAATGTTTGCAATTTATTTCATGATGAAGACCACAAGTCTAACAATAATGTTGTTCCATATACTACAAGTGTTGCTGGACCTCATTAGACCGTTTCCCCTTCTCCATGCACCTTGCAACTAGATGAAGTTGTGCCAAACACCCCTACTCTGCTCCTACTGTAGTTTTGATTTTCTTTTACTATGTTTGTTGTTATGCACGAATATACCAAAGGAAATTCCTTGTAGGTGAAAACCTACTTGAAAACAAAACTGCAAAACTTATTAGGCTGTGGCATTGTGACAGTAGATGGGAACTTTGAATGTGAGGTCCTTGTGTATTCATTATACATTTTCACATTCAGCAAAATATTGTTTTGCAATGTTTGTTGTTGAGCATAACAATACACACATACACACTATTATACACACTAAGATCTGATAGAAAGTGTATTTCAGTCAACAACAATGAACAGATGTGGGCTCACGACATCCCTAGTGCATGCCTCGTCCAAACTGAGATGACTATTATTTCCGGTCGAGTTCACGTAGAAGCAGATTTGTTTGAGAACTGTTACTAATCATACACCAATATATTCAGTAACTATATAAAAGCTAAAGTTTAGATCAAAGTGTTAAGACTTTGTGGCTTTGTCTGTTTCTCTCTGTATCCGACTACCTGGGCTCAGGTGGAGGACCCGTGTATGTAAAAGCAAACATGTGCTGTCACACAGACGGTGAGGAAGACACATAGCAGAGTGAGGAAGCACAGTAAGGCCGTGCATACTAAGGATGCCCTGTCTCTAGCACACAGCACAGAAGTCACCAGCTAACCGGGGCTTTCCACAAAGCCAGGTGTGGTTCAGATGACATGATCATCAATAAGCATGCCAAGGCCACAGAGGTGGAGCAGTGTACAGTGAGGCAGACATCTTTGCTCTGCTGACCAGCCACATGGTGAATACATGACAGCGACTTGGCTATCTGGTAATTTCCACAGAACCAGGTGTAGCAGTAAAGAGAGCCAGGAGATCACATCATGCTTAGAAACAGAGCTATAAAGGAGATCCAAAAAAAGTTGAAAATCAGTTGTTACGTGCCGTCATGTCAACTTGGGTCTCTGTTCTGGTAACAGGATGGGACTCTATTTTGCATCAATCTCTGACCCTCTCAGAGGAAACTTTTGTAATCTAATTGGCGTCTATTTTTGCTGAGAATAAAAATGTTGGGGAAAAGTTCAGGCCTTTTCATCTGGCCCAAGTCTTTTTACATAACATTGAGCTGAGCTGTGCCCAATGCAGCATAAAGTTCAGATAACCAATTTAAAGATTTTAATTCCTAAATATAGAAGTGCTAAACTTTCAACTATCTTCAGCAATAAATTTCCTATACCAAATTTACAACTAGTCTGTATCTTCTTTTCGTAAACCCTGACTTAGCTGTGTGATGTGTAAGTCTCTCTCCTGAATCCTTCAACAGCTGTTATTAGCTTTTATTATTTATCAGTGTTCCAGGCCCCCAGTCTCGTTGCTCCAGGTTAAGATCCAGACAAAGTGGTCTCCAGCATTATCATAATCATCCTTGGATTTTTAATTATTCAGATGATTTTCCTCCAATCTGCTGACTTTTAGTTTGCTAATAACCTTTCAATTTCAATCAACAGAACTCCATAATATATTTTGAACTATCAGAAGGGAGCAGCTTTTCAATGACAGCTTCTTGTTTTGTGATTTCCTGCATTACACACTGTGCTTCCTATGTTGTATACAACCTATAAACGTTTAACCACTAGGGTTGAGACATTACATAGCTCAACAGTTATTGTATGTACGTATGGGACATCCAATGAGGAATCATCTCTATTGCACTACAAATATAACAGATCTGCACCAAAGTAAGGGGTGTTATCCAGAAATCTAAATCTTAAAAAAAAATAAATAAAATAAACATTGCATCCAGTTCTTTCATTCCAGTTTACACTGAGGTTTGCTGTTCAGCTTTTCATCTGCCAGAGGCCTTCAAAGCGACTGACCCAGCTCCATACAGAGCCGGATTTAGAGCCTGCAGGCTCAACTAACCAAGGGCGTCATCTCCATTTCAGCAGTGCGGGGCATATTGTGCATCAGGCCAGCAAATCATACTGACATACTGTTGGCACACAGGGAGCCTAAATGCCTTACTTCATCAGCATGACTGAAACAAAAAACCTAAATAAAAATTCAGAAATGGATGAGATTACGTAAAATAATGGCCCCATAAGTTAGTTAAACTAAGTTAAACTTAATTTAGTAACTAGACTCTGAACAAGGTTTCATTTCTACTATGAGAAGGGCACATTCTAACATGGACAGCAAATCCCACTGACATACTGCGGGCACACGAGAAGCCTAAATCCCTCGCTCCACCACTGGAAATGAAGCACAAGACACATCTATAGAATACTACGTAGCTATGAGAAACCTGATCTAAATTGGAAAGATCAGTTTCATGGAACTCAAGTCTGAGGTCATCTCAGAACGCCTGGAAGTGATGTGTGAAAACAGGTTATAAAATAATCGACGTTGAAATAAACCAGCAACAAGCTACTAAACATTACTGTCACTCTGCTTCCAAACATCTTGTGGGTCATTAGGTCATCAGAGAGCATCAAAAAACACAAGAGTAAAACCCTTGTTCTGTGAGGAGTGTCACAGACAATAATTACAATGTAGCTTCACAGAATGAATTTCTTTCATGTTTATTCATACTTTTTTTTTTTTTTTAAACGTACATCTTTTAAGGCAACCAGGAATAAAATGATTTCAAACTGAGTCACAAGATACCACAGATCTAAACAAACTACTTATATAACACTGGAACCATAATGCAAAAACAACACACTGACAACTCCTTAAGTGGACATATTATTTTGAGTTATCAAGAATACTCCGTACAGGAAACTGAAAGCCACCTGCCTCCAACTGCTGGGAACTACACATTGGGAATTGATGTCTGGAAATATTCATGGAGGAAATTGCTGAAAGGATAAGTGGAAATAAAAGGCGCCAAATCTCTCTCAGATGTTTTAATCCCCCAGTGAGTCACAGCCTGAGATGTTATTGTGATAGATTTTACATAAGCTCATGACTGTCCCAGTGTCCAACATCTGTTACTTTCTTAACTCTGCCTGTGTGTTTTTTTTGTCTTTGAAAAACAAATCCAAAACTTTGATCATTTCAGTCCAGTCTGCTCTGATTCAGGGATGACAGGAAGTTTTGAATTCATAATCCCATGAGATTCTTGCCCTTGTTCTTGGGAAACTTGGGTCTTCTCTCCCTCTTCTTGACTGAGTCTTTGTTCTTCTGACTGGCTTTAATCTCTGCTTCCCACTGTTTTTTCACCAGTGTGTAGAGCCTCATGGTGGCCTGCGCGTCTTGGACCTGGTAGAGAGAGAGAGGTGGGGTGTCAGTCCAAGATGCTGGGTATTGCTGCTGGTAGGGTGGAACGGTTAATCGTTTTCAAATCAAAATTGCGATTTGAAAGAACACGATTAGCTAATCGTGAAGAGGGCGATTAAAATGTAGGTTAATTATACAGCGCATCTGCCATTTTAAGCAGTCGTGCAGTTACAGATTCCACTGTCATCCTTGTGTGACATACTTGCTAACCAATTAGAAGCACCATACGGTCCTACTCGACAATCAGGGCGTGTACATTTTACAACAAACGAAACTGGAGGAAAACGTAGGATCATGGCATCAGGCGAACCGACACAGGCAGCGGCTGTGCCACGGTTTTGTCAGGCGTAACTCACACTGAAGTGTTTCAGCAGAGTGTTTAGCCTGCCCTACAATGTTGACGTGCTGTTAATTTGTCATTTTGTGTGCTTCAACTATGGATAACAGCTCTCTGTGAGCCCATTCCGTTCTGCTCTGTGCAGGCTACATAAGAGCGTTCTGCCTTTTTGTGCTTCTGTTGTGATTAAGTAGGCTACGTAGTTTAATTGTTTCTTTTTTGGTCTGTTTTGTTGATATACAATCAGGAGTCTACACTGTGTGTTTGATTTTGAAAAATCGACCGGATTCTCTATGTTCTCTATCTGACTTCATGCTTGGTTCATCTGCTCTGTGCTGCTTGACGTGGCTTCCGTCAAAAATAGACTAGCAGTAAATATTGAACTTAAAAAAAAATAAATAATCCAAATTGAATTGTGACCGCAATATCTGGCAGAAAAATAGCAGATTTTCCCCCCCAAATTGTTCAGCCCTAACCGCTGGTCACCTTTTGAAAACAATACGTGAGAGGTGCATTTGACGTGTTGATGACTTACAGATGAATGTTCACCATGTTGGACCTTAACGTTGAGTATTTCTCTACAGAGGAGTTTCAGCGAGGGTCGACCACTCTAAAAAAAATAAAATTAAAATAATATAGATATAGATATACATAATATACAGCACTGATTCTGAGAAATGGGTCTGGGGAGGATTGACATGGGAGCATAGTTTGTCAACTTTAAGTACCTTTACAGTCTTCTTAAAAGGTTTGTACTTCTGAGTGTCCCGGATTTTCTTTTTTGGATGGTCCAACAGTAAAATCTGAAACAGGAATTTAAGATTGGTGCTCACATTCAGTATATTTAACAATGATTTTAGTTCCCTCTCAAGATATTACGCCCAGCTTACCTTTAAGTCATTGTGTATGGCATGACCAACCACTATTCTGCCTTGCAGGATCTCAGCAACCTCCCTCTGCACAGTGTGTACATCCTCTCCTGCAGTGGGGCAAACGTGGATGATAAATAACGGTATTTCAGTTCCTCGTGTCAGTTAATTGTTCATTGCAACTACTTTCATGACTTACCGTCTTTGATGTCCTCTGGTCTGATGCCGCTGACGGCTGTCCTATAGTCAGTCACCTTCTCTGTGGGCTTCACATATTTATCATAGATGCATTTCCCAAACTGGTTCACGAGGGACACGCGGGCCAAGATGCTGTCCTCTCCATCAGGACCGACTCCCACCATCTCGCAATCGATGGCCACGGCTCTGGTGAGGCTAACGGTTGGCGGATGGCAAACAGAATGGTAAGAGAGGACAGTTGTCACTACTATGTGAGCCTGCCTGAGGAGCTAAAGCTGGGAGGTTTTGTTTTCTGATTTGAATTCACGAATGACACAACCTATCTATCTATCTATCTATCTATCTATCTTCAAGGCAGCTGTAGGTGCAGGAAAGCCAACACTTAAACACACCTCCAAGAAGGCATTTTTAAAAATAGTCCTTGCTCATAAATGCAAACTTTTATGTCACTACAAGTTGATTTTCATGTCGTTACAAAATAAATGGAAACACACACTGATCGGCTTCTCATACAGCTATGAGAGTGGTATTATCTCCTCATGTAACTCTTTGAAAGAAAGCAAATTAGCCAATGATCCAAAAAGTCAAACTATTCTTTGAAATCTAAAACATGTAAAACAGCAGTACGGTCCTTTAAAAGCTCAAGCAGGGAGCATTCACATCCTCCGCTCACAGTATAATTATAACAACACCACAGCTGCCAATGATGCCTTCAGGTAATATCTGATTTATCAGTTAATGACTGAACTGTTAACATCAGAAAGATGCATGTCCATGGTGGAAATCAATTAAGATAATTTTAGATGATAGCTAGTGAATATTTCAAATTTATTATAGCAACCTGTCATTCCACTTTTACCAGTATGACTTGAACTCATTTGAATCACATCTGTGGGGCTACAAAGTACACAGACTTTGTCGTCACTCACCCCTCAAAGGCTTTCTCCTTGACCAGGGCGCTCTCGGTGTCCTTGCTCTTCTGAATGCCCTGCTTCTTCCTCATGATCTCCGCTGCCTCTGCTCCCACTGTCGCCTCAATGTCGTCAGGGTCTACATCATCAAACCAAAGGTCCTCTCTACAGTAGCACAGGACAAGATGAAGTTAGCAGACACAGTTCTTCTTGACAAAAATATTGGCAGAAGTTAGTGCTGTATACTTACTCTGTAGGTTTCATCTGTTCAAGCACAGACTTCTTTTTCTTGGCAGTTTGCTCTCTGTTTGGCTTTCCATTGTCCATTTTCCTTTTTGGAGCAGCAGCCAGTCTCGTCTCTGAAAAAGCTGGAACATTTAATTTCACCTTAGAGTCCTTGGTGACAACACTGTCAGGAACAGTTTTGTGCTTCACTTTTTTCCCAGGTGTTGTCCTCCCAGGAGTGACGGTGTTCTTGGAAATATTTGAATTTTCTTTAGCCTCCTTTTTCCGCAGCTCACCATTTTGAGGTTTTGGTATCACAGGATGCTTCTTCTCCGGTTGACTGGCCTTTAACATCTGTGCACAGTTTAGCAAAGTTGTGAACAATCTTCAGGAAAGTACTGAATGTTACAAAATCTAAAACACAAGTATGACATGCAAAAGTGTTAACAAGCTCTTGACAAACCTCTTGTAATGTTTTCCAGTTGGCAGAGAACTGTTGGACATCTTTTGGAGGTAATGTTTGCTGAACTTTAGCCTTTCCTTGGTCCTTGGGTGGAGGCTTTTTTCTCTTAAACTTTTCTTTCATCCAGTTTTTCCTTTTCCATTTCGCGGTTTTGTTCTTCTCTGTAGATGTGAGTGTTTTAGCAGAAGAGTCTGTTTTCTTTGCGTTCACTTTAGACATTATGGCCACTTAAGGTGAAATGTTTGGTGTTTTAATAAAGTCTGTGAACCGTCCTCAGCCACGTTGGGCCGTCAGGGCCCCGTCACTTGATTACCAGGTGATGTTAAACTGAAGAGTGGATACCATCTTCACACTAAACGTTTCTCCAGAGTACGTTTACCGCGTAGCCGCACCTACGCAGTGAAACGGTTCGGATATTCTCCTTAACTGCCGAGAAAATTGCTCAGTGGTAAACTCCAGGTGCTCAAAACCATGCTGAAATGCATCTTTCCGAGATGTGTAGCAGCCAAATGCGTCCGGCAAAGACATGAAACCGTAACATAAGCGCGTATTGTTTTCTACCGAGCTAAACAACCAAAGACTAAGGTACACAACTCATATCCACTTTAATTTATATAATGTGTTAATACTTTAAAAACGATATTCTGCTGTTTATTTTGCTTCTTATTCCAAATGCGGAAATATTTGTCTGGCAAATATTTCACATCGGACTGAATACCATATGGGACGAAATATAGGCAAGGTTGATTGGTCAGCGATGTTTGACAGGAACTAAATAAGCACCCTGAGTTTTGGTAGAAATTTTGAATATAACGTTGTTGTTTTTTTTTATAACTAAGTCGTTATTTACATTGTGATAAATACGTCGCGTCTCATATTTAAAGGATATTTTGGTTTAAAAAAAAAAGCAAAGCTCAGTCTAGGTGACAAGAACATATCTGGTAGCGTTTTGAGAGGCACAATCTTCTCAGTAGGCTTAGATGAACCAAACCTACTTATTTATAGGTGTGTAACTCGAGCTAACTCAGCTTTTCTTAAATTGTAACACTTCCTCATGGTACCTTTCTCTGTTTTTGTTGTGGTTTCAGATCATGGTGGTAAACTCTCCCTCTCCACTGCCTGAGAGGGCAATTTATGGGTTTGTTCTTTTCCTTGGCTCACAGTTCGGCTTCTGTAAGTGTTGTCATGTCTAATATAAACACTTGTGTTACAGCTGCTCACTATGTACATCAAGGCATTAAAGTAATAGAATTATTGATAGAAAGTTGGTAAGAAGAAAATATACAATCTAAAATTGTATATATCAAAATATAAATGGGAGTGTGTAACAATCAACAGGATTTGACTGTATATTACAGAAGTGTAATGAATAAATAGTTGAGGTAGTAGAGTTGAGCTGGAATGGATTAAATACCTTAAAAAATTCAGTGTTGGGACAGAGTAAACCAGAGTATTGCAGCAGAGAATATTGCACATTAAGTATTGAAACAGAGGATATTCCACATATTGTCAAGTATTGCCCTTTAATGACCAAGAGACTATGTGTCAGAGGCCTGACCTCCCAGGTCATAACTTAACCCAGGCAAAAGATGTAGTCTTAAATATTAGAAACAATAAAACATGGTAGTAATATAACCATCCGAGTCAAAGAGGAAAACATCTTGTTTTCATTAAAAATTGATACCCAGCTATCTTAGAAAAACCCAGTACAGTAGTTTAGCAACACTTTACTGTGAATATCCAAACAAAAATATTAACCTGAAAAGACATCTGTACTTACCAAACCCATAATATTTTATCCAACTTAGTAGATACATTGCAGTCAGTATTTATAGTAGGAGTTGAAAAAATGGCCTAAAACCTCAATAAACGAGACCTAAAGTCTTGCAGTTTAATTGTGTGATGAAAAAAAAATTAGGTTATCAGCTATTGTTGTTTGTGTTTGAAATGTTATTAATTTCTGCATGATTATTTGCTTGTGATCAATTGTGAAACGGCAATAAATATAAAAACACTTTCTATAAATTTCTGTGATCTTCCATTTTTTAAAATAAAATGAGGTGTATATTAATTTAATTTATTCACCACAGATGTACTTTACATTTTCAAAAACTAGTAAGTCAAATGTAGTCATTCAACACACTCACTGTCAACAGTAATTATGGTGATTGACACTGGCTGTGTGCGTGTGAGTGCGTACAGAGGAAGCCCAGTTTCTCCAGTGTCAAACAGTGTGGATAGGTATTCAAACAAAAAACCCTAGAAACTTGTCTACAATACAACTTTCCTTTCTTCTCTCCACAGTTCTGTATTGCATGTGGGCATTTATACCAGAGGAATGGCTTCATTCAATAGGGCTCACTTACTGGCCTCAAAAGTAAGTATAAAGTTATCATTAGATAGTAGTTAGCTAATGAAGAGCTTCCTCTCTGGACTGTTAAATGAAATTGTGTGCCTCAGGAAGTGCACAAACCACATTAGAAGTTTTATGACACCTTGTCCTGTGTAGATATTGGGCCCTTGCGATGCCGATCTATCTGCTGGTTGCATTAATGATCTTTGTGGTGTTGCTGTTCGGAGTGAACATGAACAACACGGCTCCCCTCAACTCCGTGGATAACATCACAGGTGAGGACGTTTGCTAGAGGCTACCTGTGACCTGCTGGTTAGGAGACAATGCACCTGTGTGGCAACATTATATTTATATTCTAGTAACGTTTGTTCTACAACGGCTACTGATATTAATACTACAGTCACATCGGCCCTCACAATACAGTGATTAGCTAAAAGTTAGAAGAAGAAATACATACTACTAACTATTACATACATACAACAAAATATACATGATGCAGTTGATCTGACATCATGTCTCCAGACAAATGTTAAGAGGATTTTTTCGTGGCTTTCCAAACTTCCTGACCCTCACCCCCTTGAATGTCTCCTTTTTGTCACAGATGTGTATGCGCAAGGCCAGAGGACAGAGGCCTGCAGCGAAGAGGGAATACCCAGACTGAAAGATGTTTCCATTAGTGAAGTCAACAAAATGTTCTATATGTCGCCCAAGCTATAACAAACAGAAACAGATTTTAGCTGGAGGCAGAGTAGAAGTGTAGCTGCTTGGGATTTATTGTGGTGCACTGTTTACCCTTTGTTTATAAAAGAAGGATTGTGCTTTATTTATTTATCCAGGAACTATGCAACATGGGGCAAAGATGTACTGAATGATTTGACTTTTTCTGACGCTTTACTTATTTACTGTATATATGACGTGCTGTGTGTGTGGTAATATCAGTAATATGCTGAATGTGATGTAACATAATATCACAATACAAACAAATAAACCTATTGTTGCAAATGGTACTGTGGAGAATAACCTATGTTACATGTATGTCTGAAAAAAATAACGTTAAACAATAACACCAGTTAAGATTAATAATTAAATGATGAGGAACCATTTAACATCTGAAATAAAGTACAGTGGGAATAATGTTTTCCTTAGCTTCCCAGAAGTGAATTTCAGTTAATCTGCAACTTTACTGCCAACAAGTAGGCTAATTGTTGAGAGACTGAAGAGAGAGAGAGTTAGGCAGAGTACAGCAGTTTGGCAAAAAGAAAAGGCTGTATAAATCACAAATCTAGGAAACACTAGGACTTGTGTGCACTAACTTGACCAGTTGTCTGAACAACACAATTCCAGTTTCTGGCCAACCTTCAAATCATGGGAGAAGTCTGATGTCTGAGTTCTCAGACAGGGAGCTAACTGTTATGAGCTTGAACTATTTAGTAAAATCATGTAACTTTTAAAGAGAAGATAAGATGTTTAACATAACCTAAATGAATGTAGTAGACCTGAGGAGGCATGTGGAACGACATGCCCAGATGATGAGGCCTCACCAAGCCTCACTTGAGTAGTGAGGAGATCTGTTTTTGAATTGAAGGTTTAAGGTTGTTCAATGTATTTTCATTTATCGTAAATGTATATTTTATCTTTTAATGTGTGTATTTGTATTCAATGCAATTATCTTTACTTTGTCTTGATATTCTTATGTGGAGTTATCAGAATCAGAATCAGTTTTATTGCCAGGTATGTGTACACATACGAGGATTTTGACTGAGGATTGTACATTGCTCACAATGTGCTTATTCATACAATAATAAAATAATAATAATAATAAAATAAAATCAGACACAAACTACAGAGTAGACAACACTAATATACACACTATGAACAAAACAATATAGACATATTGATCAAGCCAGCAGGAAAACCTTAGGAAAATATTTGGCCACTCAAAATGATCAATTCCACAATGAGAAATTGTGTGATACTTGTTTTTGTGAACTCAAATGGACGTAGGATAAAAAAGTACCTACAACTCCAACAGTGTGACGCAGTTTAGTAGTTGGCCACGTTGCCTATGTTGTTGTAGGTTTGAGTGTTTTTTATTGCTGAAGGGATCAGGGAGTACCCATCATTCTCCACAATTCAATCATTAGCTCATTTTACAGAAGCAACAAGCACCAAAGTATTCATTCAGATTTACCAGTATGGTCTGTCTCTGTCTCTCTTTCCCTGCTTGAGGTTGGCCTAGATTTGCTCATTTGTAATCAATTTGTTTTTGTTTATACATGTAATATTCATACAAGTTGAAATAAACAATTAGATAGTAGCCTATTTCACCTGGAAAGGATTTGGAGGTTCTGGAGAAGAAAATCCTGACTCAGATTTACCATGTTAAGGCAGCACTAAACATCTATCTGATGTCCTCCTCTTTTTTAAACCTCCTCTGAAGTCCAATGTTCCCTCTTCATTATTTCGAGAACATCATGCATACGGGAAATATACACTTTTTCCAAGCCTGTCTATTCGAAAGCTAATGAAGGGTAAAGGAATATGGCCTGGAAAGTTGTCCCAATATCTAAGAGAAAGAAGACAGAGACAAAATTCTGGTGTACTGCTTTGAAGATGTGGCAGAGTTGGACGTTTGATGAAGACATAGCTGCATTCGTTTTTAGTATTTATTCCTGTCCACTAGGTGGCGATAACGAACAGCTTTGCGGATTGTCTAAACCTCAGCGAAGAAGACTGTGCCTCCATGATACTTGCTGCTGTTTATCATTTGTAATTCATCCAGTAGTATTCGTCGGGCATGTTCAGTTAAACGCACTGCGGCAGTAAACAAATGGCCTTCGCTCTGCCGGTGTGGCTCGCGGTCCAGGATGAGCTCCTCGGGTATGGCGAAGTGGACTGCGGGCCTCCGAGCTGCTTCGACGAGTTCGAGGACGAAGCTTTGTTCCAGATGTTCCACCTCACCAGACCTTGCATCTCGTTCATCACAGACGCCGCCCGCATCCGCATGAAGAACGTCGCTTTGAAGAAACCCGGGCTGTCCGTGGACTCGATGCTCATGGTGGCGCTGAACTATTACGCGCACGGAGTCTCCTCCGCTCCCGTCCTGCAGAAAGTTGGACTCAGCCAGACGGAGTGCTACTCGGTCATCGGCACAGTCTCTGGGGTCATCGCGGGGATGTCCGATCAGTTCATCTCATTCCCGCTGATCCAGCAAGCCAGAGCCAACGTCGCCTTCAAGATAGAGAAATTATGTGGGATCCCCAATGTCCTGGGCGTCCTGGCTCCAGCTCACTTCAAGATCAGAGCCTCTCCCTACGAGAAGGACACGTTCAGGTCTTTTGTAAACACCTTGGGTTACACGTCGGTCGTGAGCCAGATCATCTCAGACTCTGACGGCAACATACTGAGCGTTGAAAAATGCTGTGTGGGCAGCACGTTTGAGCAGGAAATGTGGGACTCGTCGTTCAAAGGAAGAGAAATGGAGGAGGACTTGCACGGACCATTTTGGGTTATTGGTAAGATATTCTTAAAATAAGAAACAGAAGTCAAAGAATGGGAAAAGCCCATGTAGTCAGACGCATAGATAAGAATGGTTAGGCTACCTAGTCTTCACTCTGTGCAAAGTGATGCCTAACCCTTGACAATGTATGTTTTTATTTAAAATGTTTGCTACACATTAAACACCCAGCTAGTGTGCTTTGTATCTTAACGGATTTGTGTATTTGTTTAAAATAATAATAATATGACAAAAAAAAACTTAACTCAAAGGACCACTTACTAGCATTTTCCAAGGCTTCCTCAGCAGATAGGGTTTGCTGGGATGCCATGACAGCTCCATTTGCTAGTAAGTGGACCTTAAGTTGAACTATGTTTGTCAAACTACTTTCTAAGGTCAAGAGTGAACATTACTACTCAGTCATTCTGAAGATTGTTATATTACATCATACAGCACTGGTACTTTGTCACTATTTCATAGTAGTACCCATGCAATGCAGTCTTATTTTACCATCATTCCTTTGTGTGCTTTTGTTGGTGCTAGCATGGTCCACACTCAATGTGTAAATTATGTTCCTCTTTTAGCTTCTATTTAGCTCTGAAAATTGTTGCTTCATTATTTTCTAAATAAAACACTTGTGGTGTAATCATACTGCCTTCCTTGGAGTAGGTGTACAGATCAGTTTCTCAACTTTGTGTAATAAATTCCTGGCAGACTGCAAGGCCGGTTTGTACCCTCCACAATCCACATTACCTGTTTCATCTGCATTATTAAAACTCATTTTATTACATTACTTTAGGATTATCATTTTAATGCTCCTGTTTCTCTGCTGCTTTATTAATTGTATGATTTTGTGTCCTTCTTAAAGGTGGGAAAGGCTACCAATTAAGTAAACATGTCTTGACTCCTGTGTCAGAGCCTACAAATGACAGTGAGTTCCGCTTTAATGAGGCCCACGCAAAGATCCACAACGTCATGCGGACAACGCTCGGCTCCATGAAGAGGCGTTTCAGATGCCTGATGCAACTGGGTTTTGCACAAGAAGGCTCTTTGGACAAAAAGTCCAACATTATCAAGGCGTGCTGTGTCCTGCACAACATCGCTAAGAAGTTCTCTGACCCTCCTCCTCCTGTAGCTGGTAAAATTGAGCCCCTGCTTCCAGGCAAGCAGCATTCAGTGGCAGTAGAGATCAACACTGAGGCTCTAAAAGCCAGACAGGAACTCATCTTCAAAAACTTCTCCGCTGTCTCCAGTAGTCAGGACCCACCGAGTACAGGCATAACAGAGGAGGACATGTGAGCAGAGCAGGTGTGTTGCCTGCTCTAGAGGATCATCGACATACTGTTAAAGACAAACACTGGAACCAAATCCCAGCTTTTAATTGCAAGACTTATACACAGTTTGAGGCAAGTTGCTGTTATCATGTCACTTTGGCAGCATTTTCATCTCGTTTGCAGATTTTTTAAAACCACATTATGGTGATTTTGTTACTAAAAATACTTTATTTCTTGTACAAATAAAAAACATACTTATCTACCTACATTTCTTATAAATAAATTCAATTTGAAAACATTCTTTGGTCAGCAGGAGTATTGTTCCCTCACATGATGATGATGATGATGATGATGATGATAATAACTTTGCATATAAAAGGGAAACTATGCATATACACTAAATATATAAGGCTCAAATGTTTTTCATATTTACACTTTATAACAATATACAAAGTATGTAGACTTGAATTAGTTTGTCATGAAGTGCACAATCTTGTTTAGTTTAGGCATTTGAGTGAAACTCTTGGAGTGCAGTGGCATTAGCATAAATCATGTCTGAGTTCTCATATATGTTCTCTTCAAGCTTGTCGTGTGCCTGCAGACTGTCCATGATGCATTGGTGCAGGAAAACATACTGGGACTGAAAAGAAACCAAAGATGCTGGTCATTTCAAAAGCTGAACTTTGTACACACTGGATTCTGGCTAGTACTTCCTTGTATGCAGTATTGCCACAGAAAAGATTAAACACATTAAACTGTAGATGTTTAAAAGCCTCAAAGTTTCCTAATAATGTAGGTCAAGCTTTTTTGTTTGGATTTATTATAATTTGGCGTCACAAAGAATGTGAATTTGACTGAAAGATTTCCATTCATAGACAAAAAAAAGTGTGACGTATTGGAAAGGTGTGACACTTGCATAGAAACTGCACAACAAATGGCCCTAATTCCACACATATGTTAATATTTAGTATGATTGAATAATTCTTTCCTTTCCAGAATTACTGAGATTTTGATTCAAGATTTGTAAATGTCTTTTTTTGATAAATATTCAGGCAGAGTGACTTGTAAAAGCTAAGTGGGGTAGTAGAGAAGACTGTCTCAGACCCATATTTTGGGGATGGAAATGAGTAACTACATGGAAATATGTGCACAGCATATATGGGCTATAGTATCACTGCTTGTACTGTATCACCAGCTGTGTCTAAAAATTGAAAGAGACCCAACCTTAAATGGTTAGCTAACTAAAGATGTGGTAGTTCAGCCTGAAGCAACTTCGTACGATCAGTTTTACCTCTGTCTGCACCATGTATGGTCGACACAGTCTCATCTTGTGCACAAAACCGTTGATGTCCACTGCTCTTTCTTTCCCTAGCTGCTGGAGCAACACATCTAGGGCGATGATAGTGCCTGTCCTCCCCACTCCAGCACTAAGAGAGAGACACGCAGCAAAAGGTGAGCAGTTAGTGTCAAGGTATAAAGGTCATCATCAGTAGTGACCAAGAAAAAAATATAAAAATTAAGACAGTGACAGTTTTTTTTTTTGTTTCAAAGCGCCCAACAAATGGCTCAGTACTCTCCACACAAGCACTCATTCTGTACCTGCAGTGCACTACGGTCGGTGCTCCAGTCCCTTCTTTCTCTATATGTTGCCTCACCAGTCCCCTGAACTGGATCAGGACTTCTGTGCCCTGTGGGACGCCATGGTCAGGCCAGGCAGTGAAGTGAAAATGTTTCACCATGCGCTCCTCTGAGGTGTTCCTCTGTGAAGAAGATTCACATACGAGGAATTCAAATAACTTGGATCTATGGCTTGAACTAGTCAAGTGGTTGGTAAATGATACCTATAAGCATTACCCTCTTTAAAAGCAAATGTGTACAAATTCAGACAAACTTCTTTGATGACATTTACAGCGAAAGACATAATGTATTTAAATAAATTGCTATTTGTGCTTTGACACAGTTTGAGTTAGGCACAGTCAAAACAGAAATGTAGAGACATATTAATACCAAACCTATTTAGTCACACTATAAACATTTTAGAGATGTTTCATACATGTTTCATCCTAAATTCCCTCAATGTCCAGTTGGGCTCCTGCTGCACAGACGTGATGGTGACCAACAGCTCTCCGTGAAGGCAAGGCCTGCTATCAGCAGGCCAGTATTGTTCACACTTAGTCTAAAAAGGGAAAGCACAAACACTGTTTTAATGTAGCTGTAGCAGTAGATCAAAAAGTGTCACTAAACTTTGACACTTAATTATTGGTGTGCACTGTAGGACATGTAAACTGTCCCATTTGACAACCCATTAGCTATAAAAGCAAATGATTCACAACAAAGCAATAAATTGCTCAAAAAAGTTTGCACTTCCTGTCAAATGTGGCAATCAAGGACTCTCAAATCTTCCTGAAAACTCACCCTTCCTCCCTCAGTGCAGTTGGTAACCATGACGATGCGTTTCACTCTTTGTTCCCAGATCATCCTCCAGAAATCATTGACTGTGTAGGGCAGAGGACCCTGAGTGGCAATGTACTCTCTGTTGCTGTTGTAGCCCTGAGAAGCAATTGCCAGCATTAATGTGTACACTTCTCTAGCTTTTCTATGTCCTACATTGCTCAGTATGATATTAGACACCATGTTGTGCAGGAAGTCAGCATAAATTGCTAGACTTGAAATTAATGTACATGTGCATGTGTTTCAGCAACCATTTACTTCAGTTAAGATGAATGGTTCAAGCTTATAAAATCTGCCCTTTCTTACTAAAGGATTTTTTTGACAGTTTGAGTCAAGGTTTTTCCAAGCTCACTATATGGTGGTGCACAATAATTACAGAAAGAGTTTTCTTAAATGATTGTTAGTTATCAAGGAATACCTACTGGCATGTAATTGGCATTAATGTAGTCGGAGGTCCCGTTGGAATTTGATGTAGTTAGCTTCACCCGACACCAGTCATCTAGGAAGATAAAACAGAAGATGTTTAACTGCAATGCACCACAACAGCAGCAACTAGGATGAGTGAGTGGATCTGGACCATTTCATCAGCCTTTATTACTCGTGATAGCATGGTCAGAGGGAAGGCTTACATGGCAGGACATTGTTGAAACGATTCCTCGCTTTGTTCTCAGGTAGAACAGCTTCCTTGCGTGTCTGCTCAGTGCCAACAGGAATGAGATTCTGCGTGGAAGTTGGCAGATGAAGCCGTGTGATTGAGACAAAGGTCAACAGAAAACAATTTCAACAGTATCACAACTATGCACATAGAGTTTAACAGTCCTATACAAATATAGGAAGACACAGAAGAGGGGGAACAAAATACAATTTTCTTTTTTAAGCACCTCATATTCCTCACTGAAACCTCTGTTCTCATCTGCACTTAATTGGTAGAAGTGGTCTGGAAACTTCGTCACCGGAATAGCTCTGAAAAAACAACAACTTGTCATGTCATTTTGTAAGAAAGTTGACATACATAAATATTACAGAATAAAGATTGACATTAATATTAGATCCAGTTTATTTTTGTGGTTAACCAGCGAATTCTATCCCAAGTGAACCTCATTACATAGAGACATAATTTTCTCTTTTTTTTCACCACATTTTCAGGGACTGACAGTGGTGTTAACAATATGAAAAGATGATGAAAAGTATACTTACATGCACTTTTTATTAGATAGTATGGAACCACCGATGAACATCTTTCTTCTGCTGTGGAAAATAAGCAAATGTGTTCACTGCTGGAGTCTAATTGAGTACATTTCAGGGAGACAATCAGATAATGAATAGTCACCGAGGCAGTACAAACCTGATGATATCTGGTCTTTTAAGCATAATCAAGACAATCAGACCAACCAGGAGACCAAAAAGAAGCACAGCAAAAACTGACCCTGCAATGACTCCTACAAGGAAGAAAATTTGCATTAAATGTTTGTAACATAACGGAGAAACTCAACACAGCAGAGCAGTCTCTATTGGCATCACTGTCACACTATCTTTATTTTCCCAGAAGGGTGAATTTTGCAATGTGAGAAAAAAAGTGAAATATAAAGTCCCAAAACCAAACAACAAGAAAGTCATATAACTGATGCCAGCACAGCACAAAAATGGGTGAGAATATATTGTTTTACATCACGGAACAAACTGTTTTGTAGAGTCATTTAGTCCCTTTGACTCACCTCTTGGATCGGTAGGACATGAAAAAACAATTGGTTTATAACTCCTGACGGTCCCAGACAGTGAAGCTAAAGACACCTCATATGTTCTGGCAGGTAGGAATCCAGATATTTTGATATGCTGTTCCCCATTTTCCACTTTATGAGTTTTCCCAGTCACATTAACCTCGACTGAAGTCCACACTCCAGCCGGCTTATTCCAGACAATAAAGACAGAGTAGCCAGCTGCCCAGTACTCACAGTGAGCACTTAAATCTGGAGGAACTGAAAAAATCAAGTGAAAAGATGCCTTTACAATCACAAACATCAACATACCAACACAGTGTAACTATATAATTTGTCAAAATACACAACACAAATTCATGCATTTCTATATACTAAAGACAAATATTTGATGACCTATCTTTTTAAAATCTGCACTCCACTGCAAAAAAGGAGTGCACTTACTTTTTCCCATCAAAAATATGTAGTCCAACATAACACAATAATGCCACAATGTATTTTGTTTAAAAAATCTTTCATTCATATGATTAGTTAATCCACAGAAAATTATTAAAAACTGTAACAATAATCGATTAAGACACAAAAATGCCACTAAAACAATCAACAACACTTTAACTGATTTTAAAAAGTAGCATTAGCTACAGCCCATATAACCATATCATTTCAATTAGCACTAATAACTGTACATGTGAATGAAAGGTACTGTATTTTGCTGCACAGTGTATAATTACATTTATTACATGGTTTCAAGAACTCAAAACTAAAAGTAAATTACATTACATTATGTAATGTTAAAGTACTTGGAAATCTTTCTTAAAATACAGATTAAGCAGATCATGTTAGTACTTAATGTTATTTGTGTTGGAAATACAGAAAAATATTAATATTAATGTTAATGTAGTAAGACAGATCTGTACTTACTGATTGTCAGATTGTGGCTACACTGTTGAAAGCGTGTGGAATTTCTTTCATACACAAGAGACACTGTATAGGTTGCACCGGGGTAAAGACCAGAAAATGACACATTGCGACCTCCAGGACTGACATGAGTTTGGGATTTATTAGTGGCTGTTGCATTCGAGAACAAGCCTTCAATCACTCCTTGGATCGATAAGTTAGTAACATGCCAGGACACATTGGTACAGTCTATGGCTGAAATGAAAGAGAAAATAAATGCAGACAAAAGCCTATAAAGCACATGATTCGATCAAAAAAAATACTAACTTAAGTTTTCCAGAAACAGGACTTGTAGGCTCTTTGTTAATTTACACATAAAACAATACTGTGTTATTCATATCACAACAGATTTTGAGTTTGTCAGAGAGAAGGCATGTATATTTACCTGTCACTATGAAGCCTTTATAAGGAGTGCTTTTGAGTCCAGAGAATACCGTGGTCACGCTGAATGCATACTCTGTTCCAGGCTGGAGAGATTGCGATGACTGTGACACAACATTCAAGGATCCATTTTGGGGAACTTGAAAGGTTTCCCCATTAATTTGAAGAGTGTAGTTCCAGTTTTTCTCCACATCCACATTCCACTGCAGGGTTACGCTGGTAACAGAGCGTTCAGTCACATTGACCAAAGCCACCATTGTGGGAACTGATGAAAAGGGGGGGGGGGAGCCATCACTCACCATAAAATTAATTCAATTAAATTTTATTTATGTACGGCCAATTCATAACAGATATTATCTCATTGCACTTTGCATATAGAGCAGGTCTAAACCGTACTCTTTTTAATAGTATTTGCAGTGACCCACAGGCTAGTGACAGCCTAGTTAATCCTTTAGAAATTAGACCCCTGTGTAGATTTATCTCAAATATCTAGGCAGTAACAAGAACAAGTCCAGGTCACTATCTACTGGCTGTTGTGTGTTCAATTGAACTCCAGTTATAAGCATCTAAATTTGACTTTGCTGTGCAGTAATTACTATTCATCTGTTAATTCATGTAATGTAAAGAAACATTAGTCCCTCAAAATCCTATGTTTGTTGAAAGTTTCATTTTACATTTATTTTACTCAAGAGATTGGTGGGACTATTTGTTAACGTGTAGTTGTAGGTAAAGTTAAATATAACAATTTGTGTATGATGATTTGTGTTGCATATCGCAAGCAAAATACTTGGCTCTAAGTGTATACAGGTCACCTCCATCAAACGCCACATGACTCCCTCAAACACAGTGATGGGAGTGAAATTACATTTTGTCTCAGCAGTAAGCAAATGGATCACACATAACTGGTGCCTCTAATAAAATTAACTTGACCTTAACAAGACTGGCATTGTTATCACATTCTAGGATGTAAGTTGAGATGCTGTTAACCTTGCCCCATATCAGTTATACTGGTCTCAATTTGTGTCAACACGGTCACATTCTTAACATTTTCAGAAGCTTAAAGTCACTGATTTATTTTTAAATGAAAGCATATAACTATCATGATTTGATGTTATTTCTTTTAAATTTAATTTCATTCTTATATTTTTTCATATTTCACATATTAGGTGAGCAACAACCATTTGCAAATAAAATGTAAGCTGTTGTATCAACGTTAAATAAACTAGAAAGAGACAGGTTTTGAAAGTATCTAATTAAAAAAATCCCACCCCCTCCCTTGAGCCCTTCCTCCAAAGACATTCCTCCAAAACACATTTTCATGTGCAGTGAGTGCACGGGCAGAGTGCATGCAGGTAGACAAGCAGACAAGCCAGCCAATCATATTATTCGGATAAGGAAAGACATCTTACCAGTGACTGCAGTGATGTTTACTCCACTACTTCTGACATTTTCAAACACAGTGAAGAGACTGAAATCGTATTTAGTCCCACTTGTGAGTTCTACGATTGTACGTGTCACGTGTTCTTGTCCCTCTGATGCAGTGACGTTTATCACCTTTCCATTGAACAAAATGATATAGCTGAGGATGCCATTCACTTTCTTCCATTGCAGATTTATACTGGTCTCAGTTTGTCCAACTGATTTGAACTCCTCTGAGTTACGAGGAGCTGGAATGTAAAGAAACACAATGAAGGAATTGTCAGAGAATTGCATTTAAAAAGTTATGTTTTGTGCAGTTTATTTTCAAACATTTAATACTTTGCATTAAATTCCATTATTTTATCTGCAACAGTCCAAAATATTAAGTGAGCAACACCCCTCTGGTACTGAGACACTTTAAATTAGATAATGTTACAGAGCTTTATCCTGGCTCTTGTTGGAGCCTTTGTCAGAGGAAAAACATCTTACCAGTGACTGCAGTGATGTCTACTCCACTACTTCTTACATTTTCAAACACAGTGAAGAGACTGAAATTGTATTTAGTCCCACTTGTGAGTTCCATGATTGTATGTGTCACGTGTTCTTGTCCCTCTGATGCAGTGACGTTTATCACCTTTCCATTGAACTCAAGTACATAGTTGAGGATGCCATTCACTTTCTTCCATTGCAGATTTATACTGGTCTCATTTTGTCCAACTGATTTGAACTCTTCTGTGTTACGAGGAGCTGGAATGTAAAGAAACACAATGAAGGAATTATCAGAGAATTGTAAAAAAGTTATGTTTTGTGCACTTTATTTTCAAACAATTAATACGTTGCATTCAATTCCATTATTTTATCTGCAACAGTCCAAAATATTAAGTGAGCAACACCCCTCTGGTACTGAGACACTTTAAATTAGATAATGTTACAGAGCTTTATCCTGGCTCTTGTTGGAGCCTTTGTTCGAGGAAAAACATCTTACCAGTGACTGCAGTGATGTCTACTCCACTACTTCTTACATTTTCAAACACAGTGAAGAGACTGAAATTGTATTTAGTCCCACTTGTGAGTTCCATGATTGTATGTGTCACGTGTTCTTGTCCCTCTGATGCAGTGACGTTTATCACCTTTCCATTGAACTCAAGTACATAGTTGAGGATGCCATTCACTTTCTTCCATTGCAGAGTTATACTGGTCTCATTTTGTCCAACTGATTTGAACTCTTCTGTGTTACGAGGAGCTGGAATGTAAAGAAACACAATGAAGGAATTATCAGAGAATTGTAAAAAAGTTATGTTTTGTGCACTTTATTTTCAAACAATTAATACGTTGCATTCAATTCCATTATTTTATCTGCAACAGTCCAAAATATTAAGTGAGCAACACCCCTCTGGTACTGAGACACTTTAAATTAGATAATGTTACAGAGCTTTATCCTGGCTCTTGTTGGAGCCTTTGTTCGAGGAAAAACATCTTACCAGTGACTGCAGTGATGTCTACTCCACTACTTCTTACATTTTCAAACACAGTGAAGAGACTGAAATTGTATTTAGTCCCACTTGTGAGTTCCATGATTGTATGTGTCACGTGTTCTTGTCCCTCTGATGCAGTGACGTTTATCTCGTTTCCATTGAACAAAATGATATAACTGAGGGCTTCTTTCACTTTCTTCCACTGCAGAGTTATACTGGTCTCATTTTGTCCAACTGATTTGAACTCTTCTGTGTTACGAGGAGCTGGAATGTAAAGAAACACAATGAAGGAATTATCAGAGAATTGTAAAAAAGTTATGTTTTGTGCACTTTATTTTCAAACAATTAATACGTTGCATTCAATTCCATTATTTTATCTGCAACAGTCCAAAATATTAAGTGAGCAACACCCCTCTGGTACTGAGACACTTTAAATTAGATAATATTACAGAGCTTTATCCTGGCTCTTGTTGGAGCCTTTGTCAGAGGAAAAGCATCTTACCAGTGACTGCAGTGATGTTTACTCCACTACTTCTTACATTTTCAAACACAGTGAAGAGACTGAAATCGTATTTAGTCCCACTTGTGAGTTCTATGATTGTATGTGTCACGTGTTCTTGTCCCTCTGATGCAGTGACGTTTATCTCGTTTCCATTGAACAAAATGATATAGCTGAAGGTGCCATTCACTTTCTTCCATTGCAGAGTTATACTGGTCTCATTTTGTCCAACTGATTTGAACTCCTCTGAGTTACGAGGAGCTGGAATGTAAAGAAACAAAATGAAGGAATTGTCAGAGAATTGTATTTAAAAAGTTATGTTTTGTGCAGTTTATTTTCAAACAATTAATACGTTGCATTAAATTCCATTATTTTATCTGCAACAGTCCAAAATATTAAGTGAGCAACACCCCTCTGGTACTGAGACACTTTAAATTAGATAATATTACAGAGCTTTATCCTGGCTCTTGTTGGAGCCTTTGTCAGAGGAAAAACATCTTACCAGTGACTGCAGTGATGTCTACTCCACTACTTGTTACATTTTCAAACACAGTGAAGAGACTGAAATCGTATTTAGTCCCACTTGTGAGTTCCATGATTGTATGTGTCACGTGTTCTTGTCCCTCTGATGCAGTGACGTTTATCACCTTTCCATTGAACTCAAGTACATAGTTGAGGATGCCATTCACTTTCTTCCATTGCAGAGTTATACTGGTCTCATTTTGTCCAACTGATTTGAACTCTTCTGTGTTACGAGGAGCTGGAATGTAAAGAAACACAATGAAGGAATTATCAGAGAATTGTAAAAAAGTTATGTTTTGTGCACTTTATTTTCAAACGATTAATACGTTGCATTAAATTCCATTATTTTATCTGCAACAGTACAAAATATTAAGTGAGTAACACCCCTCTGGTACTGAGACACTTTAAATTAGATAATGTTACAGAGCTTTATCCTGGCTCTTGTTGGAGCCTTTGTCAGAGGAAAAACATCTTACCAGTGACTGCAGTGATGTTTACTCCACTACTTCTTACATTTTCAAACACAGTGAAGAGACTGAAATCGTATTTAGTCCCACTTGTGAGTTCCATGATTGTATGTGTCACGTGTTCTTGTCTATCTGATGCAGTGACGTTTATCTCGTTTCCATTGAACAAAATGATATAACTGAGGGCTTCTTTCACTTTCTTCCACTGCAGAGTTATACTGGTCTCATTTTGTCCAACTGATTTGAACTCCTCTGAGTTACGAGGAGCTGGAATGTAAAGAAACACAATGAAGGAATTGTCAGAGAATTGTATTTAAAAAGTTATGTTTTGTGCCGTTTATTTTCAAACAATTAATACGTTGCATTAAATTCCATTATTTTATCTGCAACAGTCCAAAATATTAAGTGAGCAACACCCCTCTGGTACTGAGACACTTTAAATTAGATAATGTTACAGAGCTTTATCCTGGCTCTTGTTGGAGCCTTTGTCAGAGGAAAAACATCTTACCAGTGACTGCAGTGATGTCTACTCCACTACTTCTTACATTTTCAAACACAGTGAAGAGACTGAAATTGTATTTAGTCCCACTTGTGAGTTCCATGATTGTATGTGTCACGTGTTCTTGTCTATCTGATGCAGTGACGTTTATCTCGTTTCCATTGAACAAAATGATATAACTGAGGGCTTCTTTCACTTTCTTCCACTGCAGAGTTATACTGGTCTCATTTTGTCCAACTGATTTGAACTCCTCTGAGTTACGAGGAGCTGGAATGTAAAGAAACACAATGAAGGAATTGTCAGAGAATTGTATTTAAAAAGTTATGTTTTGTGCCGTTTATTTTCAAACAATTAATACGTTGCATTAAATTCCATTATTTTATCTGCAACAGTCCAAAATATTAAGTGAGCAACACCCCTCTGGTACTGAGACACTTTAAATTAGATAATGTTACAGAGCTTTATCCTGGCTCTTGTTGGAGCCTTTGTCAGAGGAAAAACATCTTACCAGTGACTGCAGTGATGTCTACTCCACTACTTCTTACATTTTCAAACACAGTGAAGAGACTGAAATTGTATTTAGTCCCACTTGTGAGTTCCATGATTGTATGTGTCACGTGTTCTTGTCCCTCTGATGCAGTGACGTTTATCACCTTTCCATTGAACTCAAGTACATAGTTGAGGATGCCATTCACTTTCTTCCATTGCAGAGTTATACTGGTCTCATTTTGTCCAACTGATTTGAACTCCTCTGAGTTACGAGGAGCTGGAATGTAAAGAAACACAATGAAGGAATTGTCAGAGAATTGTATTTAAAAAGTTATGTTTTGTGCCGTTTATTATCAAACAATTAATACGTTGCATTAAATTCCATTATTTTATCTGCAACAGTCCAAAATATTAAGTGAGCAACACCCCTCTGGTACTGAGACACTTTAAATTAGATAATGTTACAGAGCTTTATCCTGGCTCTTGTTGGAGCCTTTGTTCGAGGAAAAACATCTTACCAGTGACTGCAGTGATGTTTACTCCACTACTTGTTACATTTTCAAACACAGTGAAGAGACTGAAATCGTATTTAGTCCCACTTGTGAGTTCCATGATTGTATGTGTCACGTGTTCTTGTCTATCTGATGCAGTGACGTTTATCTCGTTTCCATTGAACAAAATGATATAACTGAGGGCTTCTTTCACTTTCTTCCACTGCAGAGTTATACTGGTCTCATTTTGTCCAACTGATTTGAACTCCTCTGAGTTACGAGGAGCTGGAATGTAAAGAAACACAATGAAGGAATTGTCAGAGAATTGTATTTAAAAAGTTATGTTTTGTGCCGTTTATTATCAAACAATTAATACGTTGCATTAAATTCCATTATTTTATCTGCAACAGTCCAAAATATTAAGTGAGCAACACCCCTCTGGTACTGAGACACTTTAAATTAGATAATGTTACAGAGCTTTATCCTGGCTCTTGTTGGAGCCTTTGTTCGAGGAAAAACATCTTACCAGTGACTGCAGTGATGTCTACTCCACTACTTCTTACATTTTCAAACACAGTGAAGAGACTGAAATTGTATTTAGTCCCACTTGTGAGTTCCATGATTGTATGTGTCACGTGTTCTTGTCCCTCTGATGCAGTGACGTTTATCTCGTTTCCATTGAACTCAAGTACATAGTTGAGGATGCCATTCACTTTCTTCCATTGCAGATTTATACTGGTCTCATTTTGTCCAACTGATTTGAACTCCTCTGTGTTACGAGGAGCTGGAATGTAAAGAAACACAATGAAGGAATTATCAGATAATTGTAAAAAGTTATGTTTTGTGCAGTTTATTTTCAAACGAATAGTAAAGTTGCATTCAATTCCATTATTTTAACTGCAACAGTCCAAAATATTAAGTGAGCAACACCCCTCTGGTACTGAGACACTTTAAATTAGATAATATTACAGAGCTTTATCCTGACTCTTGTTGGAGCCTTTGTCCGAGGAAAAACATCTTACCAGTGACTGCAGTGATGTCTACTCCACTACTTGTTACATTTTCAAACACAGTGAAGAGACTGAAATCGTATTTAGTCCCACTTGTGAGTTCCATGATTGTATCTGTCACGTGTTCTTGTCCCTCTAATGCAGTGACGTTTATCACCTTTCCATTGAACTCAAGTACATAGTTGAGGATGCTATTCACTTTCTTCCATTGCAGAGTTATACTGGTCTCATTTTGTCCAACTGATTTGAACTCCTCTGTGTTACGAGGAGCTGGAATGCAAAGAAACACAATGAAGGAATTATCAGATAATTGTATTTAAAATCGTATTTAGTCTCAATGGTAAGTTTCGAGATTGTGTGTGTCACTAATTGTCCCCCTGGTGCAGCGACGTTTATCACCTTTCCAAAAAACTCAAGTACATAGTTGAAGGTTTCTTTCACTTCATTTTCATTTACTTTATTCCACTCCAGAGTTATGCTGGTCTCAGTTTCGTTAACTGATTTGAACTCTTTTGCGTTAGGAAGAGCTGGAACATGAACGATATGATGAAGAAACTGTAACAAAATCTGGAGTTTTTAAAATGACAGGATATTCCTAATAAAATGTTTTGTTTTGTGTAGTTTTCCAAACAAACAACAATATGTTGCATTAAATTAGATATTAAATTATAATACTGAAATCGTATTTAGTACCACTGGTAAGTTCAGTGATTGTGTGTGTCACTAGTTTTCCCTCTGATGCAGTGACGTTTATCTCCTTTCCATTGAACTCAAACGTATAGTTGAAACTGACATTTACTTTGTTCCACTGCAGAGTTATACTGGTCTCAGTTTGTTTAGCTGATTTGAACTCTTTTGGGTTAGGAGGAGCCAGGATGTAAAAGACATGAAGAAGGAACAATAACAAAATTTGATTTAAAAAAATTATAGGATGTCCCTGGTGTTTAACATTTTCAGGAGATTAAAGTTTCATTAGAGAGTGTTGAGTGTGACACGTTCACCACATTAAACATTATTCATGACTGCCGTAATATAACACAAGGAAATACAGACTTGTCACCAACCAAAAATAAGGGACAGCAGCTCACACTTACTGGTTTTCACTGCTTCTGTGGCTTTTGTCACTGTTGTTTTCTGTGTTTCGTCCGTTGATGAGTTTGTGCTGGAGTCAGTGACACCCTAAACAGATGACGAATCATTGGGGCCCAGAGAGAATCAAAAATATTATTTAAATCTAATTTCATACTGTACAAAATTGCCAGAAGTGCTCAGAAGTGCTGACTATGTAATCTACACAGTTGACACTATAATGCAATCTCTGAGTATCACAAAGCAATGCCATTTCTGTTGTTAATTTATATCTATATTATATTGTATCTATCTGTCAGCGGCAGCAGGAGGTAAAAAAAAAACAACACTCCCTATATAGAGGTGTTCTATTCTACTTTTAGTCAACAATTTTTCTTACAAGTACAAAATCTTTCATTACAAACAGGCTGACAAAACAGTTTGAGATAAATATATGATCTTGTTGTGCAGGAACCTTAAGGAAACATCAGAGATCTTCAAATGCAAATTATGGCCTGGAAACTGTTCTAGCATTTTGCACTTCTACCTCTAAAGCTTCAAGTGCAACTCTTAAAATATGCTACTAAAAGAGCTGACAAAAAGACTAATTCAGACACAATCGTCAAACCATTATTCGTTTGTTTTTAAATAAGAGCAAATCACTTTCATTAAAAACAGATATTTATATGTACAGATATCTTCCGAGGTTTAATTTTTTTACCACATCATAACATTCAAAATTCTATATCTTCTAATAAACAAACTATAAGACAAAACACTATCCAACTACAGCACCTTGTCTAAAACATACAATAAACAAGATAGGAAATGTTAAAGGTATATATCCCCTTCTGTTTTACAGTAAGTTATTTCCTCATCTGTGCTTTTTTTCTCTGAGGAAGTGAGAATAGACTACTGATGCAGAGAAAGAATTAAATCATATTTCACCATCTGAAAAAGTCCATCATTCTTATATCATGCAGATCTTTTTGTGTTCTTTACATACTGATATTTCAGGCCATGCTTTGAACATTCACTGCGGTTTCGACTCGTTTTCTTTTGTTGAGGGTAACTATCTGATCAAAACGGAAGGTTAAAAAAAACTTACCAAAAGTAGGCTGAGGAAGACACACAGCAGCAAGTGGACTGAGGTGATTTTACAAGATAAAAGCTTCATCATTGTTCATTGAGCAACACCCACACAATGAGCTTGTTGAACTCCTTTGTTGTCTGAAGCTCCCCTTCAAGTTTCTATTTTCAGTACTGCCACTGGTGTGTTGGCAGTGAATGTCCTCGTGCCACGGCTGACGTAGTCCAGTATTAACTTTATTCCTGTGGTGTTGACTTTTAATTCTTAACCATGTCCTCCTTCTGTAATCGCTGGAGCCCTTTCATATTGGCAAGTGACTAAGTAAATAGCTGCTTCTCCTTTTGGCCTTGTACAACCACAGATACCTTTGCCCCGCCTGTTACTTCCTTATTAACGGCCAAAGTGTGCCTGTTTTACATAATTATATGTGGTAATTGCTTTATGTATGCCATATGATTATTCTTACTAGTTTAATGTGTATGACTGTGTGTGTACCTTTAAGGTGTGTGTGTGTTTTAAGTATTTTAAAATGTTAATGTCTTAGTTAAAATCACTGTCTACTGTCTTCAGATCGGCTGGTTTCACAGAGCAGTAGACTTGCTTTTAGTTTCTTTGTGCGGTCTCGGTAGTCAGTAATATTTATAGCTTTGCTTGTGGTTAACAGCTATAAGGAACTGCAGCCAGAAAAAAATCACCAACACACTTTGAACAGAACATGAAGTTACGATAGTGTTTATAGGGTCATATTATGGCACAGCAGGCAATACAGCTACTGGTTAATCAAAGAAAATGTTGTCCATTGGGGAAACATGAGGAAGTTCTCTTCATAAATGATCATAGTTTTCCTCTTATGCTTATTTTTCAAGATTTCATTCTTAAACAGAACAACTACTGTATAGTGAGCTAAGATATTGAGCATAACCAGTGTTTCTTTTAAAAAGCATATTCATTCAACATTCATGCAAAATTACTTTATTTCATATGTGGCCCCTGTCTGCATGATCATTTCAAGACTCTACGATATGTATAAGCGAAAATCACATTTTTTTTGTAGTTTTAATCTATACAAACCTTAAAATTCATAATTTTTTGTGGAATTCATCATTTCAGAGGAAACCTCTTATAGTGATCACATCTGTTCGGGTCAAATTGATCACTATGAGTGGACAACTTGATTACAATAAGTGACTTACTTAAACAGCATTTTTATAAGAATTATTATGTCCCAAACTTTTTTGATCATTATAGGTTTCCACTGTACCAAAAAATAAGCCTTATAAAATCTACTTTACAAAATAGATTTCACTAATTACTTTGGTGAAGGAAGTCTTTGTATACAGAAAAAAAGTCTTATCACTATAAATTTTGTGGCTCTGGCCATTCTAACAGAGAACGACCTCAAACCTTAATGCAACACAAAAATCATACAATTCAGTGATTATTTTAAGTACTAGGTCATACAGTGCACCATGTTTATCTTTATACATCTAGATGAATGCCTGTATTTATTCTGCTTGGCATTTCTATGAGTGCAAAACTAAATCTTTTGTCCCTTAATTAGTCCTTTTCTCCTGGACTGATGCTAAAAAGCTCATCCATGTCTTCTGTCACAACTGTTTCAATTCCCTCCTGTTTGGTCCACCCTTCAAGATTCTCAACATATAGCAGCACGTGCACTGCAATTGTGCCACCAGTCCACCCACTCCTGCCACCACACCACCCCCCACTCCAGGCATCCACTGGCTTCCCATCCACTGCAGGACTTAGTTTAACCCTGCCTGCTGCTCACATACATATACAGGCTTTTGAAATGTATGAATCATGTATGAAGATGTGCTTGCCAAACAGTGTCTGCTTACCATCATCACGCTTCATTTCTGTTTTGATGACTAAGCAGCCTATTATAAGAAATGTGTTAGTTACAGTATTATGGCTCATGGCTGTTATGGCTGTTTAGGTTGGGTTGAACATACAATCTAGGTCAGGGGTTTTCAAAGTGAGAGGCGGGTCTCCCCAGGGAGGCTCAGTGAGAAGAAGTGAAACAATATTCATTAGTGATCAAAAGGAGATCACATATAATATCCTACATGTGTGATGTTGAGAGTTCAGAGATAGAGTAGTTGTGGGGAACTGTTTTGCCCACTTTATCAGAGACTTTTTTAATGTGTTTGGTCAAAGTTATGTCAAACATCAATATTAGGCAATCTTGGCTCAATTGTTGAGTGTCTATAGGATCAAATAACATAATCCTGATCCCACAGGCATCCAGGAAGTGGAGTGAAACTAAGCAATTCAACTAAGGGGGCACCAAGCTTTGTCTGTAGTGAGGCTCACCACAGTCTCACACTTTGAAAACCTCTTATCTAGATTGAACACCCACATTGTCTGATGCATGTCATGCGTCTCCAACACAAGAGGGGGCAGTAGAGATGCATAGAGAATAAAACACAAAGCGAGCTAACGCTAGCAGGTGTGTGCAAACAACAAGATAAAGCCAGATAACTTACAATACTGGCAGCGTGGAGTAGATTTACCCTCACAGAGCAAGTGAGTAACGAAAAACAAAGGTGCCATTAACCTGTAGTATAGTAATTCAACTTTATCCACAGTCAGGCCTGGCTAACTAACATGGCATACATGTCTGTTAACTAATGTTTAGTTAATGCCAACTTAGCCAAACATTCCGCATTGCAACGGAGGCTAGAGGGCAACTTTGTAAAGGTAACTTAGCGTTAGTAGCTACTTCTTGTGCTTTCAACAAACGAGCTAAAGTCGGAGCTTCTGATGTTAACGTCAGCGTTTGTTGTCTGCTTTTGAACTAACGTTAAGGTTATCAAGCTAACAACCTATGCTAACGTTAGCGTAAGGGTCTAAACACCTGGCTAGAAACGTTAACGTACATCCTACTTGAACTCCGTTTACATATTTACACATGACGGCAGTGTGACTGGTGTTTTGCTGAAGCCCTTAAATATTGGTTGCAACAAAGAAGTGCAGAACTCTTGGTAAGGGACTTCGGAGGGCGAGTAGACAAAGCCAAGTTAGCTGGCTGAGAAAGGAAAGGTGTGTATTTTTCATCCGGGATGTTTTCTGTTACAAAACGGGATATCTATCTCTCTGAAGTTAAGTAATCGCTTTATTTAAACTGCTGTTGGTTCGCTCTAATATTATTTTTCTTTCTTTTTAGAAATGCAGTCTGTAATAAAACAAAACTTCCATTCGGAGACCGAGGGAGACATCAACAAACTCGTCAACCTCAAGCTCAATACATCCTACACCTACCTTGCTCTGGTATGACTTCTATTACAGTAACATTAACCCACAGCTGTATATTTTTTTTTATTTTTTTGCATTCATATAAAACAATAGATAGCGGTCTGTTTGCTAAGAATCTTCTTTCTTATCCCCTAAATTACTGGGTTTCTTTCGTCTCTATAGGGGATGTATTTTGACAGGGATGATGTTGTCTTGCCGAAGTTCTCCAGCTTTTTCCTGGAGCTCTCGGTGAAAGAGAGGGAACAGGCTGAGAAGCTGCTGGAATATCAGAACATGAGAGGAGGGCGAATTCTGCTTCAGACCATTGCCGTAAGTCCAGTTCTTTTGGTTGGGGGCATTAGTAAGATTGGTATATTTCTTGGTGCATATGTTTATCCAAGTATCAACTTTCTGTTGTAGAAACCAAGCAGAGAAGATTGGAGAGGTGGTCTGGATGCAATGTCATTTTCCCTGGACTGCCAGAAGTCCGTAAACACATGTATCCTTGATGTGCACCGCAGAGCTGGCACCCACAACGACCCTCACGTAAGTCTGGCATTGTTGGATTCAACTACATTTGAAATCAGTGTCTTACATCTTAATGTTACTTCTTTTGCAGCTGTGTGACTTCCTCGAGCAGCATTTCCTTACCGACAGCCACGACACCATCAAGAAGCTGGGCGATTACATTGGCAGTCTGACCCGCATCACCGCGTCTGAGACACACGGTGCTATGGGAGAATACCTCTTTGATAAACACACTCTGTAAAGGTCACAGCAGTACAGACACAAGCTCCACATTTCAAAAGACAAATGTTCCCTCAGAATACGTTCATCTTCTCCGTTAAGAAAATTATTCAATGCCTTCACAGTTTACGAGAAACTTCATTCTTGTAAGTTTAAAGCAAAATAACAGAAAATACCTCAATTTTACTTGAAAGCCACAGTGGAAAAAAATAATGTTCTCACTAATATGGTGCTAAAAACAAACATTTTCTAAGCTATTAAAATGGTCACTTGTTCAAACCGACTCCTTTGTATCATATTATGCATTCCAGCATGTCAGAGGTTTTAACCTTCATAAATATTGTTTAATGCATACCATTGAGTCAAACTACTTTATTTGAAGAGTTTAGAATATCACTGAAACATTGAATAAAGGCAGATTAAGACAAAATTGGTTTTGTCTTTTATTTTTATTTTTCTCCAACCAGTTTCAACAGTTAAACTCTATGTCCAGTTGTCCAGACAGATTAGTCATTTCATGTGTCATGAAGTCTAAACATACTGTCTGTAGTTTCCCTAATGTCATGTCTGCACGTAGAGAACACTGTAAAAGATATCAGTGGGACTTTGCTTACTCACTGTTGGGTGGGAGCTTAATGTTAAACGTTAAAGACAGCTTGTGGTTAAAAATGCCCATGCTGCTGCTTAGTAAATGGCATGTTTCAGCAAAGATAAGATTCGCTTGCACTAGTATGTCAAGGAGCGCACCACAACCAGGTGTATGTCTTAATTTACTGTTAGTGTGTCAGCTGGAGTTTAGGGCGGCAACACACCCAAAATACATGAAACAAATATTGTATTGTGAGAAAACATTGGATAAATTCTTGATTTTTCAACAGTGTTTACTAAACATAAGGGTATAATTTAAATGGTCTCTAGTAATATTGTGTATACTTAAAATCTGGAGGAGTGCCGTTATAGGGGAGAAAGGCCCTGTTAATTAGCTGATGTCACTGAAAAGCCATTTTGTTTCCCTCTGCAGTTTAGTAGGTTTACTATTAGAGGAGGCTGTTGCATGTTGGCTTGGAGCCACTGTGATTTCCAGATGTAGCCGTGCAAACACGTGGCACCATGCCTGGGGATTACTGTTCACAGCGCTCTAAATACGGATCTGTGTTTTCTACAGTAAAATGGTAAGCCAAGGGATGGGGTGGATAGAATATCCACACTCAGTGAAAGTTGTTGGTAGTTTGACGAATGACTGCGAGGGCAGCTATGCTGAGGGGATTAGTGAACCACTACAATCTCTTCAGTCTAATGGATAAACACAAACACCACTGCCATTTCTCATCGGTCTAATGAAGGGTCAGTTTTCCTACTCAAAAATAGAATCCTTAAATTGTTGAACATGTGTGAATGCTGTAACAATGGAGTAGATATATAATAAAAGGTAACCGTTGCTCTTCAGGCAGAGACCTAAAGCAACAGATGTGTTGTCAGCATTCTAATATTGGGAGGAGGGGTAAAGGGGGATTAAATCAAAACACTGCTCTAGAGATTTGCCAGCGCTTTAGCTTTGATGGAAAGGGTTGCAGGGAGCCTGCTAGACAGAGTCTGCAGCATACAGAAGAAATGATGGGCATGTGAGGGCTGCAACAGGCCAAAGGGGAAGCAGCAACAAATACACTTTGAACCAGAAGTTGCTCCAAAGCTCATTCGGTATAGAGGGAATTAAAGGAGCTTATCACAAGGTAAGGTAAATATGCATAAGATTTCAAACATTTCTGTTATGATTAAGTGCAACAGCACAACACTGCAAGAGATACAAAACCAGTGGGAAAAAGCTAGACTATTTGAATTGAGGTTTTTTTAATGATGATATAACATTTGGTTTTTGACATATCCACTTTAAAGGACTGGTTAATCTATTGGCTGGTTATTTTGATTTGAATGATTTGCCTATGCTTACCTATGATTCTGAACAGAATCACCAACCTCTACTAAATGGCTGAGAGTTTCCTATAAATGTCAATAGACACAGATAATGTTTTAATGTCATTCATCTTTCTCTAGCAGCTGCAATTAGACAAATGTGACAATTGCCTCTGAGAAAGTTCTGTGATTCCAACAAAAAAATATTTTAAATAGTCCAGAATAAATGTTTTATGAAATACAAATAAAAGATCTGTGTTTTCCTTCAATCTTGGCCATAGTCCAGCATGTAACCTTCGAAATACCTTAATAAACAGTCATTATTCTAGAAAACTCTCCAATGGATTTTTTATTTAGGCTTTGAGGATCTGGGATTTTGGATTAATATTGTAGCGCCACAGTTTAATCTAGTTACATGCAGAGTCAGTGACGAGAGAAAAATGGGGATGGGAAAAACGGGGGAGTGAAAGCGGAGGGTTGTGGGGTGGGGGAGAAGACAGAGAAAATGAGAGTAACAGAGGGATTAGGGTCAGCCATGTTAAGCATCTGGCTTAGAGATGTCCCATGCTCTTGCATGAACACAGGGATTACACAGCGTACATACGAAGTTGTGTCATCTCTCACTGTAGGGGCCAGCATGACAGAGAACATAACAAACCAACACCACATGAATAACTTCACTGTTTTGACAGCTGACATGAGGTTGGCCAGTGTCGGGGTCCGGGCCCGGAGGGCTGCAGAGCCGTCTGAACCAGAGCCAGAGGAAGCAACAGAGCCCGTTCACCATGAGCACTCCCATACGGAACATCATGAGCACTCGCATACAGAACACCATGAGCACTCCCACACAGAACATCACCCTGGCCATGACTACAACCACATGAAGGAGAAGTTCATGAATGAACTTGGTCATCTGCCAAGTAAGCCACCTTTAGAATCTGCGTGAACATGGTCAACAGAAATTAATAACTTAATTTATGAAATAACCTGTGTATATTTGGTTATTATTTGAAAGACGTGATCCACACCTGTCCAGATTTGACATTATGATACATACGTATTACATATTTATATTTCCCAGTTTAGTCCAGCTTTTTAATGAATATAGTCTTTCTTGAAGATTCTAGATATTCGCGATTATGAGGTGGAAAAGAGTGTGTTTGACATATTTGTCATGGTACAAAGAATGATTTTATAGGAATATAAGCTTGTTTTCTGGGTCATCACACCAAGTATTTTTGATGTTCATACCCATGAAAATATAAGTGCATGAGAATTGTTTTCTCTTCAGTTAACAACTACTCTTGAGGTGGAGGTGCTTTGAGTAAGGCACTTAATGATAAACTGCAATGCTGGGGACTGTGTTTGTGCAGGGGCCCTCCCAGCTGGGAGTGTGTTATGATCAGATTGTAATGAAGGGTGTTGCTGATGACACACATGCCTGCCCCAGATAAACAAGTGCTTAAAACTTTTTTAAAGAGAACACAGAAATGCTCAAAAGAACACTTCAATCCACTGTCGTAAGAAGCACTGTATTTTATTTCCATATTATCCTATTTTATTTCAAAGTTGTCAAGCATTACGCCCTTGGTTCTGTTTCCAACCTTTGGATAAGCAGTTTATGTTCAATATTGTTGGAATTGATTTCCATTATAAGAGTAAACTGATTTATGAAGGTTGATTTCTTTTTTGGGATGTAATCTCAAGATGTGACTAATTGAAGGCCTCTTGAAAATCCTGAGATCAACAAGTTTTTACTATGTACTATGTTACTTTTGTGAATGTTAAGGACACCAGGGGATCAGACACCCACTTCTTTCTGGCATAACCTTCTGCATACAATGAATACTGATGAGTAAATTCACCTGTTTTATTTTGCAGTTCCCATGTGGGCAGTTGGAGCCATTGTCGTGGTGGTCCTGGTTTTGGTGGCGTGTTGCATCTTCTGTCTTTTCAAAAAATGCTTTGGGAAAAAGAAAAAGCCAAAGAAAGTGAGGGAGAGGAAGACAGGTCGCCGCCGAAAGGAAAAGGAAGGTGAAGGAGAGGCTGGAGAGAAGGTATGTGATTTCCAGTAACCCATTATTGTGCAGTCTTACCTGATTTAGATCTTCATGGTGAATATCTAGTGCACTGATGTTTTTTTGATCTTGTAGGAGGGTGAGGTGAAGAAGGAAGGGGAGCAACAGGAGAAAGAACAGGAAAATGTGGGTAAGCTGGAGTTCTCGTTGGACTACAACTTCACTGATACCCAGGTAGGTGCTGTGTGGAAACAAAACTATTATCAGGTTCATCAAAGACATTCATATTAATGATAAGAATAAAGGGACTCGACAAATATCACAAAGAGATGTATTTTCTTGTCATGACAGCTTAAACCTTTTGCATTCAATGGTCATTCTGACACCTGTTCTCTTCCCTCTGAAGCTTATAGTGGGTATCATTCAGGCTCAGGACCTTGCTGCTATGGACATGGGGGGAACCTCAGACCCCTATGTCAAAGTCTTTTTGTTGCCAGACAAAAAGAAGAAGTACGAGACCAAAGTTCAGCGCAAGAATTTATGCCCTGTTTTCAACGAGACTTTCATCTTCAAGGTACCCTGCATCTGACATTGAGTCTTTGTCGACTTGTCTGTGTTTTGTTTGTTCTTTCTCTTGTCTTTATGTCTCTGTCGCAGCTTGTGTTGGTGTTCCAGGTTGTTGATGGCATATCACTTTTTCCCTCTCATGAGGCAGAAGTTTGGCCTATGTCTCTGCTTCCCCTCGTCTTTAGTCTTTCATTCCCTGAATGCCGTCTGTCAAGGTATCCCTCCCCAAAAAATAACAACGCAGTTTGCTTTTAATTGTCTCCTGTCGCTATATGTTCTTTGTTATTGTCTGGATTTGTACATTTGTAAATGTAAATATAAATACAATTGTCTACCATCTACCTTCACCTATTCTACATCCCAATGCTGTCATACCTTCTTTTTCTAGATCCCATACGCAGAGTTGGGAGGAAAGACTTTGGTGCTGCAAGTTTATGACTTTGATCGTTTCTCCAAGCATGATATGATTGGTGAGATAAAGATTCCTATGAACAGTGTTGACTTGGGCCAGCCACTGCAACAATGGAAAGACTTGGAGAGTGGTGAGAAGGAAGAGGTATATTGTGTTTTCATTAAACCATGTGTCTATTCTTCATTTTAAATTAATTGATGGCATGATGGTAATCCACAATATTTTTCTTTCAGCAAGAAAAACTGGGCGATATTTGCATTTCTTTACGGTATGTACCCACTGCTGGAAAACTGACAGTGAACATCATGGAGGCAAAGAATCTAAAGAAAATGGATGTTGGTGGCTTATCAGGTAATTAAGCCTCCTGCAACTTATTATCATTCTGTCAGATATTTGCTTAATGCATTGTAAAAATTGGCTACTTCAAAAAATTTTAGTCTGATGAGGAAGTAAAATAAAGCCACAAAACACAACTATATCCCCCTCTTTTGCTCTTCCATTAGATCCGTATGTGAAGATCGTTCTGCAGCAAAATGGGAAACGGATTAAGAAGAAAAAGACGACAGTCAAAAAAAACACGCTCAATCCTTACTTTAATGAGAGTTTCAGCTTCGAAGTCCCGTTTGAACAGATACAGGTAGGCTGTGTCTTCATATCAATTATCAATTTGAAATGCTACTGACACTAAAAGTTGATGTGGAAAATTCTTATTTTTTTCTTTCAGAAAGTGCAGGTCGTCATCACAGTGTTTGACTACGATAAACTTGGGAGCAATGACCCCATTGGAAAGACCTTCATGGGTTATGGAGCTACAGGAGTTGGCCTGCGCCACTGGTCAGATATGCTTGCCAATCCCAGGCGTCCAGTAGCCCAGTGGCACACTCTGCTGCCAGAAGAAGAAGTCGACGCGGCACTCAAAGCTAAACCTCGTTAGTGTCGCACCTGGATTAAGTTTAAAATCACTGCTGATAAGTTATTTCACCTTTTGTTAATCCTGATGTTTTCTCAATTTGTTTTCCATTTATTTTATTTTAAGAAATTGTATGTGTACTTGTGTGTGTTTGAGAGAGATGTACAGACAATTTTTGAAATTTGGTTTTCATGAAAACGTCAGCTTCCCCTATTATTTACTTTGTGCTGTAAATCAATGACTGTATTTGTATACTTGGAAAACACGTATCTGTAAATGTTCATCTTTTGTGTGTGCTTGCGCATGGGCCAAGTAAAATGTGGAGATTTACTCTGGGCTTTTCTGCTCATTTTGAAGTGCTGTGGTGTCCTGAAACATGCTTGTTGTAACGCTCTGGATCTTTTTAAATGAAAATAAACCTACACAGTGGACAGTTTCACATCAATGCTTGGCTTACTCTTTCACCTTTAAGTTGATTTAATTCAATGGGTTATTATTAGTTGATGTTCTTACTGTTTAATTGTGAGAAGCAATTAAATAAAAGCTGTAGGAGTTGTGTATCCTAGAATGTAAAATTGGTAACTATAGCTATATAGCTATATATATCTATAGTATAGTAGCTATATATATTCATGCTTTCTGGAAATGCCCAAAGATTGTGGAATTTTGGAAGAATGTTAAAAGAAAAATTAAAGGTATTCGCTCTTGAAAGTCAACATTAAGCCGAGGCATTTGTATTTTAGGATTAGATGACACAACAAAGCAGGCTGCCAGGTATGAGGATATATTGAGAATTTGCTGGTACGTAATCGGTTTTAATGTCTGTTGGTGACTAAATATAACATAGCCTATTGTATGTGTGCTAAGCTGCTTCACTTGAGTGAGTGTTTTTGTTGTGGTCTGTTTAGGCTGAATTTTTGTTGTTGTTGTTGTTGTTGTTATGCTTGTTTCTGATGTTTGGGTGTATTATGATCATAATCAAATTGGAATAAGAATGGTATATAGGAGCACTTTGAGTTGTAAAACTGTAACTTAATTATGCAATATAAATTAATAAAAATGGAGAAATGATCCTAGAATGTTATGAGAGATAGATGAACGGATATCCAACAATGTTTCTCTATAATAATCGATTGTTTTAATTTACGGTCACCGGTAGTTGGCGCCTGTGCTCCCCATTTAGAAACCGTTTCCTAGTAACAGAACCCAAACTTTCTGTTCAGACGGTAAACTTAGCTTTGAATTTTCCTCAGTCATAATTCAGCCTGTGAGGTGAGTTTTCCCATGACTTTTGTTTCATTTGGTATCTGGTATCGTACGACAGGTTTTATCACCACATTCAAGTTATATACGGGGTTTGTGCCTCTGGATAACAGATTCATTGATAAGCTAATTTTTGATGTTCTGTCGACCAAATACCCTTTCGCTAGTTAACGTTCGTGCTAAGCTGAACCATAGACTGTGCCAACAGACACTCATACTGGTTGAGTCTCGTTAACGCTGTTTTAAGAAATTTTATGTATAGATTCGTGTGCAGACTGACAGGGTCTAAGAATATGATCATTGTGTCCATAGTTGATGTTTCTAAGACTGACACAAGGTATACATCTTGCTTTTGGAAACACTGGACCCGAAGCCTGTATATGTTCTATAAATGATGCTTCATCCGCATCATTCTTAATTGTTTTGTATTGTTTTTACATATGTAGTGTGCTGTCTCTATGGACCTTTGTGTCTTGAATAAAATCATATCTAGGCCTATATCTTAGTGTGAACCATTACAGTCAGGTGTGTGCACAGCTTCGTTTGTCTTTCTTTAGGCCACAGTACAGGATGAGTGCTGGACGAGCATCTGAGGGCGCGGGCTGCATCACTTGGTGGGGCTTCAGTCCTGCGCGCGACCTGCTGAGAACTGGTGAGAGGGGCACGAGGATGCGTGGTCCTCCTACACACGCGCATCACAGAGCAGTCATGGTTTGATGGAAAGTAACCGAGTACATTTTGTTTAGGGATGTACTTCACTAGAGTATTTCCATTTAATTAGTCTACTTCACTAGAGAATTAACGTAACTAACGTAAGTACATTTTAATTTTGTAGTGTATTTTACATTTTGAATGCAGGACTTTTACCTGTAATTGAGTATTTTATAAGGTATTGGTACTGTTTTTTTGTTATACTGGTAGACTGGTAGATTACAATAACAGAAGCGGAAAAACAGCATGAGTTTTAAAGAATTTAGCTATGCACACAAAACCAGTCAAATCACTTGTGAACACTTAAACACACTGCAGACAGTATGATAGATAAACAACTGCAGTAACTGGTAATACATTACTTAAGTGTTGTGTATGTTGGACAGAGAGGACCCAAAAGCAACGCTCAGGTGAAGTTGGTTTTATTGAGGGAAAAAGGGGTTGAGGAAGTGGAGGCGAGGGAGAGGTGGATGCAAATAGAGGAGCAGAGGAGACACAGACAGGCAGGCCAAAACACAAGGGAAAAACAGAATCACAAGAAAAAAGGAGAAATACACTCACCGTCAGCTGGGCTGCCACCACAACACTTAAGCATAGTTTTTGATACTTAATATACCTTACTTATTTCAGTGCTTTTCTTTTAATGCTCCACATTATATCCAAAAAAAGGAGCTTATTTTTCATTTCAGAAAGCCAAACCCTTGCAAAGATAAATTAGCAAAATCATGATTTAAATATAATTAAAATATCTGACTAAAGAATAAGTAAACAAGACAGATTTCACCACACTTTCAATGCCAACTTTTAAAACCCGGTGCAACAGAAACATTTCTGTTGGTGCTAAACAGTACTGAGGTTTGGTACCAAGCCCTGGAAGTATGGTGTGTTGGAACTACTATATGCTTTCTCTTTCCTCCCCCAGGCCCTGTGAGACTTGAAGGGGAAGTGAATGTTTTACTGGTTGGCACTGGAGATCCACGACATATTTTGAAGACCATTGCTGGTGTGCAGAATGAAGAAAGCCTTCACGTGAGCCTCAGTGTCTTAATCTGTCATGTGACGCCTGAGAACAAAATTAGTTTGCTCTACTGTGAGCTGCAAACGTCTTCTCTCTGCTCTACTGCAGGTGTGGGTGATAGAAAACAGCATGGAGGAGGTAGCCAGACAGCTGCTGCTCCTCTACCTGGCACTGATGCCCCAGGAAAGCATGGGAAATAATGGTGGGTGGGAGTTTGTGAAATGATTCACTTCATAATTGTTTGGTAAAAATGTTAATGATGTCCTTTAACATTTTCAGAGAAGACAGAGGTTTTCCTGGAGGTATTTGGGAACAGTGAGATCCGCAGTCAGACTGAAGAGACACTGAGACATGCAGCATCACAGCTCTCTGTGTCTGTTACTGAAACACTGGAGACGCCCACACACTCCTGTCTGAACACAACTTTTCTCAAGGTGCAGTGTTTGGCAAACAAGCGTGTCCTATGTGTTTCTTCAAGACATTAAGATTGATCTTTTTCTGAAATCAGACACTGACACCTGCTCAGTCAAACCCATGTAAAACAAGACTACATAATGGGCAAAATGTGGCTATGTAAGTGCTCCATGAATTAGTCCACTAATTTCACACTGAATATTTCTACAGTTCAAGGAGCGAGACGAACTGGCCAGGATATTCAAATTGTGGATCCAGCCTCAGTCTTCAGCATCTTCATCTGAATGTCCTGCTCCTATCATAATGTCCAAAGCCTGGGATTATCGGGTCAGGCAGCACCTTGGGACACGCTACAACGCCAAGAGGGGCTGCTTTGACTGGGACCTTTCAATGAAACTGCATGAGAAAGGGGTATTTGCATATAATTCCTTTATTTGTCGAAATATGCCCATATTTAGAAGGATGTAAATTTGGAGGCTCACATGTTGCACTGAAGGACTGAGACTGACTCTGCTGTGTCTGCAGTGTGGCGTCATCAGCAAACAACAATATGTGCGATGGAGGGAACGGGGTTTGGCTTTCGAAATGAGGGAGGGCGTCTACCAAATAACAAATCCAAGTTTGCTCTCTTCAAGAGTGTTCAGTCAGGTAAGCGTTTGTCTATTTTTACGTTTCTACACAATGCAGCAAGTAAGATGGTGTGAAGGAGCTTAAGTTTGTGTGTGTCCATACAGAAAGGGGACAAAGTAGCTCTCAGGGGCTACTGGGGAGACATTGTTTCCAGTCCCTACCTCTCCTTTGGCATTGAAACTGATGACAAGAGCCTGCTGAAGACACAGAATGGGCAGCACGTCAAGGTCAAACATACAGTAGTAATGGCACGGATGTTAGATTATAGATAGATATAATATGTCTTCTTTTTTATCCTACAGCTGAGGTACATATAACATATTAATGTCTGCTTTTTGTCCTCTCATCCTTTACTCACACCCACAGACAGCCCAGGATGTCTCCTTTGCAAATGTACAGGCATTGTTCTGGTCCCTGTCCAGTAGACGGGGCTGCACCACTACTTCTCAGTCAGACACAGAGGCAGAGGAGCCGTCCCCACAGACAGACCGGAAATCTGTCACCATTAATGGTAAGTGGCTATTACCACTGTGAAGGAATTTAGGGGTTCTATGACGCAGGTTTCCCCAGGTCATGATAGGGTCAATTACTGAGCTAAAGTAAGCCAAAGGTGACAGCCAGGGACTCTCCAAAACGGTAGGTCAGACACTCCCCTCCGCCTGCTTGGTCGCATGACTGACGCAGCTGCCTTGATAATGATGCATTGTTATCCATTTGTTAGGTAACCCAAGGTCGAGATTATCTTTATTTTGTTTCATTACATACAGACTGACTATCTAGAAAGTGTTGCACGTGGTTTAAATGGCACACAATGTGTCTTGATTTGGACCAATATCCAACAGACTGTTCACGCATGTATAGATAAGTGAACGATAACCTTATCTGGACACTTAGGGAATCTCTGTGGGTGTAGAGAGGATAAATATTCCCAGACAGGAAGTATCCTTCAGATTTGGTGTTGACATTCTCTGTGTTCACACGTTGTATGCTGGCACTGTGTCACCTTAGCTGCTTAACTCGCAGTGGAAAAGTGAAATACTGAATTTGATTTTGTGGATTTGTTGTTTCAGTGTGTTTTAATGTACATGTTTAAATACATTAAATAAGTGTACATGGAAAGCGGGTCTTTAAGCTTTTCAGGGTATGGTATCACTTCGCATCCTTTTGAAACCTGTTTTGATGCTTGGCACACAGAAAACAGCAACTGTGTGTGAAACCTGATGGTTTTATCACTGACCTTTTTCAAATCTTCTTCAGACTTGATGCATCTGAACGGGATCTCTGTGACCTTCCTGCCTATGGGCTCACTTCACAAACTGCCAGAAAAACAGAAATACTCCCACTTCTTCAACGCCATCTATTTCTCTGCCAGGTGAGAGTTTTTTTTTCTCTAATTACAATTCATATTTTCATAAATATAAATATAGTAACTTAATCTACAATAGGATCTTTTCACCATCCTGTCTCCTTGACTGCACACTACTGACATGAGTGCTGACCAGATTTAACTTCTCTGTTTTTGTTTCCGTCTTTGTCAATGCTACAAAGCTGCGTACACCAGTTGGGCCCGACGATAAGACAGATTGCAGCACCAGACGCTGTGCTCGTCGTGGAGTTGGCCAAGTGAGGGTTTTTATAGTAACAGTGCTTGTTACCATGGCGACAGTACAGTCACCAGGAGTACAGTGACTATGTTATGTAACTCGCGAGTGCAGAGTATTTTCTTTTGTATATTTGACGTTTGCTACATATTTAAGTTAATTGATAAACACTTAATACTGTCACAGCGGTCTTTGCATTTAAGTTGTATTTGTGTGTCATTGTATACATCAGGTACATTTTGGATCTGAGCAAAGAGCAAGAAGCTGGCTTTGCAAAGAAAGTGGTGAGCATCGCTCTCCAGGCTGAATTTGAGCCGTGGCATGATGGGAAGAGTGATGACGTCCATGCTGTGTTCATACCACAGAAGAAGTGAAGGTGGTTAATTTAAGCAGAGCTGTTTACTCTGCTCCGACTGTCAGCAGCCGTACCTTCAAAATATGCGACAGATTGATAGTCAAGGTGGTGTTGCTTCACAGCAAAGACATTTTACAAGATCTTATGCAGTCAGAATTTATTTTTCCTTAATAAGGGAGTTTACCAGTCAGCGAGTAGCAACTGTGAGTGTTTTGTTTGTATTGGCTGGGATTTATTTCATGTTTCAAATTTAATTTCCAATTTGAATGACAATGAATGATAGAAAATGTTCAGTTTATGTACACATGCATTTTAATAATTACAGATGCAATTGCAAGTAAATTTATTTCATTCATTTCACACCTAAATATTTAAATCCCAATTAGATAAAGTGATAAACACTGCAACAATCTTGTCCTGAAACTAGTGAACTGTCTTCTGGTCTGTCTGTCTTCTCTGTGCCTCCTGTGTCAGTTCACTTCCAGCGTCCTCCAACCTTCCCCTTACCATGGACCTTTTTGCTGCATTGAGACAAGAAAACGTAAAGTAGATTATGGACAGTCGTACTCCGCACCGAAATTACCAGCAAGTATGACTGAGTGGCAATTCAGTGGTTGTGTCATCATGGTAGATCGAGACGAGCAGACTCACAATTTCTGAGCATGTTGGATTCTGTTCAGGAGGACATTGATCTGAAGAAAAAATAAATAAGCGTCACGAATGAGCCATTTTTAAAATATCGGTTTTGTATATTCCCAGCTAAATGGCTCACCTCATACTTCTGCCTCCTCATCTTTTCAGTCAGGTCAAATTTCTCTGACTCCAGTTGGTATATGCATTCCCACATCTCCTTGGCTTTCTCTCTAAAACACAACAGCATTAACAACTTGAGATGAAGTAAAAAAAAAAAAGGTCACCAGCTACTTTTTCTGCAGCTGCTTCAAATACTATGTGTCAGACATACCCAGCTGGTTTAAAATGTAATGACCTTTACTTAGAATGAACCTAAATCTACTGGCAACAAAACTCAAAATGCATGTCTTTAATGGACCTGACCTCAGGGTTTCCTCTCTCAGGTTCTCAACAGCCAGTGGCTTGCGTCTCTCCGCCAGAGTCTTCTTCTTTATTTCCCTGGCTGTTTGCCTTTTGCCTCGCCTCTGCTCTACCTGCAGGAAACAAACACACTCATTTGACACACATGAAATCTGATTGTCATGCAGAGCCGTTCTTTCAGTGGGCACTACAAATGATATGCCCTGCACATACTCGCAGTACACAGTGACACACCTGCCTACAAATACATTATTCTGACCTTGGCCAGGAACCCTCCAAAGTGAGCACCCATGTTAGAGAGCACTTTCTTCTTCTTTGCCTCATCCTCTGCCCTCTTCTTGGCCTCTTCATCCTCTTTCCTCTGTCTCTCCTCCTGAGGAAGTCTTCAGTAGATTACTGCAGTTTCCGTTACTTATATTTACATAGTATCATATGCAGTAAGTATAATGTTAAAACCTAATTACCGCAATCCGTGTCTGTCTGTCCCGCTCTTTTTCAGCCCTCACACGCTGCTGCTCAGCTCTTTCTGCCCGGCGGCTTTCCTGTAACACAATAACCATGTCAACTCGAATTTCACACATGCCCCTTTAATCTTTATTATCATAAATATCCTGACAAATCTCGCTTTTAGACAAACAGAAAAACAACACGGGAAAGGCATTACAATCCTGTCTTTGAGTCCAATCAGCTCCTCTTCCTCTTTCTTCCTCTGCTCAAAATGGACATCAATCAGAGTCTGCAGCTCCAGAAGATCTTTCTCCATCCTTTTCCTATGGATATCCTAACAGGGACCAGCAGACACACTGATCAAGATTATTTAATGCTGTTTTAGGGGCTTGTAATTGTGTAATTGTTCAATTAATAACAATCTTGGAGGAGCATACATCAAAGTCAACCCTCTCCCCCTCAGGGATTTTAGGGGCAGCGAGCTGTGTGACCAGTGGCCTGTAAAATAATATGAAGGCATATTAACATATATGCTTTTTTGACTGCTCACATTATTTTTATTTACTACTTTTAGTGGTAAAATCAGTAAATAGTTTTTTATGTTAAGTATTCCCATGTAGCCTTACTTGTATTTGGGACGTTCTTCTTCAACATCACAGCCAGAGCAGAAATGAAAAAGCAAATCAGCTCAATTTTTATACACATATTTGAAAACACAACAAATCAAATTAATTCTGGTTTAACTTTAATAGGCAAAGACTGATGTTTTAATAAATCAGAAAACCCACAGTTCATGGCACCTGTTCATAATCCTAGAAAGATGAACAGAGTTTTTTATTGCCCTGGGGCAATTTAAGATTTTAAGTTCCCGGTTCATTTTGAATTTAAAATCCACAGCATAATCATGCAACTGAACATGGATTTGGATTCTGGAAAAACACAGCTGCAAAGCAAACAAAGTTCAGCATCGCAGTCTCACCTCCCTCTCCCTGCTCCTCATCTTCTTCTGCAGAAAGAAAGAGTAACAGAGCGATTGAGTTGAGGGAAAATATGAAACTGCAGCTTTATTAAATGAATGAATGCCCTTACCTTCGTGATGGCCTCTAAATAAAAAAATAATTAAAGATCACATCAGACATGCTATAAAACAGAAGCTTATGTATTATAAATGATAATAAATAATAATAATATAAAAGTTAACAGGTAGGACTGGACTGACTCACCCATGACCTTCTAAATCACACATAGTGACACTGGAGAGGAAATATAAAAATCAGAACTGTTATGAATGTGCAACAGCATTAGTGTGACATATGAAAGGTCTCATTATTTTTTAAATGTAGTTCAGCTAGAAATGGTAACAGCTGCATTGAATTTGTAGAACACACCTTAAATTTGCCAATAACATGGGTTTGTCCAAAATTACATTATGCAAACTTACTTAATTATGGGGATTTTAGCAGCAAAAGCAGACCAAGTCTCAACACTGTATTAAAGCTGTAATTTTTGAAAGACACAATCTTCCACCTAGAAATGAAAAGCTTAATTCATGAGAAATAAAACCATTCAATACACTTTTGTTGCTACAGACACATTCGGTCTGGTATGACCAGTAGCTTGTGCTGGCTAAAATAAGCCAGATGCTGAAGATATTGATGTGTAACAGTTTTTTCTGGATCAGTTGATGGACAGCTGGCACAGTTCTGGTGTGTTGGGTGTGTGTTTTTAATGTTTCCCTGTTTTAGTTTGTAGTTGCCTGCCTCCAGTATCGTCTTGTTTTACTTTCTTACTTCCTGTATACCTGTCTCATTCCCCTGATTGTTTTTACTTGTGCCTTGTTATCCTCACCTATCCTGTGCATATATAGTGGTTGTCTTTCTGTTGTCAGTTACTGGTTCATTGTTTTCATTTCTGTTGTTTGTCTCTGGATTATGCTTAGATCTTTGCTATTTGGACTTTTTTTTTGTGCTCACACCACATCACCTGTAAGTTTTTCATCCATACAGGATTAAACCTCACTCACAGTACCTGTTTAGCTCAGTCTGATCACCTAATAATGACGCCTTCAGAGCAACTGATGGGAAAATGTTGAACTTTCTCTATGCACACAAAAGGCCTATTTCTCTCAAACATTGTTCACTGAATCTGTCAAAATCTGTGTTAGTGATTGTTATCTCCTTTGCCGAGATAATCCATCCACCTCACAAGTGTGGTATATCAAGATGCTGATCAGACAGCATGGGTATTCCACAGGTGTGCCATAGGCTGGCCACAATAAAAGGCCACTCGAAAATGTGCAGTTCAATCACACAGCACAATGCCACAGATGTCGCAAGTTTTGAGGTACCGTGCAATTGGCATGCTGACTGCATGTCCACCAGAGCTGTTGCCCGTGAATTGAATGTTCATTTCTCTACCATAAGCTGTCTCCAAAGGCGTTTCAGAGAATTTGGCAGTACATCCAACCGGCCTCACAACCGCAGTAACCACACCAGCCCAGGATCTCCAAATCCAGCATCTTCACCTCCAAGATCGTCTGAGACCAGCCACCCGGACAGCTGCTGCAACAATCGGTTTGCATAACTAAAAGATTTCTGCACAAACTGTCAGGAATCATCTCAGGGAAACTCATCTGCATGCTCGTCGTCTTTCTCGGGATCTCGACCTGACTACAACTCCGTACAGCCATTGAAGAGGAGTTGACTAACATTCCACAGGCCACAATCAAGAACCTGAATCAACTCTGTGGAGATGTGTTGCACTGCGTGAGACAAATGGTGGTCACACCAGATACTGACTGGTTTCCGGACCTCCCCAATACAGTGAAACTGCACATTTTCGAGTGGCCTTTTATTGTGGCCAGCCTAAGGCACACCTGTGCTGTCTGATCAGTATCTTGATATGCCATACCTGTGAGGTCGATGGATTATCTTGGCAAATGAGAAGTGCTCACTAACACAGATTTTGAATATTTGAGAGAAACAGGCCTTTTGTGTACATAGAGAAAGTCTTAGAACTTTGAGTTCTGCTCATGATGAATGGGGGCAAAAACAAAAGTGTTGTGTTTATAATTTTGTTCAGTATATAAATAGATGAGAATTTTAATTCCAGGAGTGGAGATCCTTTCATTTTAATAGTCCTGTCCCCTGTCCTGATGTATTTCATGACTTATGAGTCAGCCACTGGAGATACATTACACGTTCAATGCAGGTCAGTTCTTTTGTTCAAAGAATAAGAGTAAAGGGAAGGCCATTTGTAGCTAATGATCTAGGAATAGAAGAGGCCAGAGGGACTATAGACCAGAGCAGTGTCCTGTTACCCAGGATAAGACTGAGGTATCAGCTGGCCAATCCTTCTTGTTTAATTTGATTTACAAGAGAGAATGTGGGATGGAGCGATTAAGCTGGTCGGCTGGCCGCTATTAACACCAGCCAAGTCCTCTAGTATCATTTGATCTACTCGCAGTCTCACTGAGCTGAAGGGATATTTAAATGTCTGTAGAGCCCCATAAATATTTTAGCATTCCTAACCATTGCTTCAGCAATTTATATACATATTTCAGTGTGGCTTGTTACAGGAGATATAGTATTATAATTTTACAGAGCGCAATCGTCAAGAACATCTGAAGAGCTACAGTAACTGAACGGAAACATTTGGATTCTGGAGAGACACACCAGCAATAGACCGATTTTCAAAATACAATTTTCACTGCAGACATTGTAAACAACTGGAAGCGCTCCCAGACTGCCTGTCTTTGAGTGTAAAACATGGCAGATCAAGTAATGAGGCCACCCCGAGTCTCTCAGATCCCTTCGTAGTTAGTTTTTAGCCAACATCTCAGAGCATGAGCATGTAAATCTGAATAAACACGGGCACAAGGACAAAAGGCAGATGAGGGATTGGGAGAGGAATTCATCACTTCACTGTTGAATGTTTCTAGCCAAACTGACCGACACAGTCCCAGGCGGACAGAGAGGCCAAGGGCACCAAGAATAACCTGTCATGAAGGAGCATTCAATTCCAGAGATATTATACACCTTTATCAACACCCACTGACCCACTGGCATCCTATGTTCAAACACATATTATGTTGTTATGTGCTCTTAAAAGCCCACTGACTTTTAAGATCCTACTTTTGCTGTAATTGAGTGAAGAATCCCAGAGTTTGAAAATGTACCTCATTCTTTCAGGTCTAAAATGTCTTTTAATTGATTTTTCTGTTGGGGGCAGACATGAAAACATGGCATCTTGGATTTATATATTTCACTCAATATTAAGATGTTATAGCTTCACAGAGTTACTGGAACAAGTAAACTATGAATATACTGAATCAGTGACATTGTATAATGAAAAAATAATCTGCCTTTTAAACTTATTGAGGATGACAGAGTCAATTTTGAATGCCATGTACCCGTCTAGCAGACATGGAGCAACATTACCACTTATTTAGTGTTGTGTTTTTGGCCACCTGATAAATGTAAATGCAAACTTCAATACCCTTTTAGCTCTGTTTTTGGTCTCCACCAAATCCTGCTGGAAATATCTGGCTCTTTAGCTGCCAAATGCTCTACTATGTTCTCCAGCTAACATCTGTTGACAACTCTGTGTCTGTCAGTCGATTAATGCTGGGCAGGTAGCATACAGTGGGGTTCTAGTGAATAGCTGTCTGCTGTACGACCGGTGAGAGTGAATCCAAACAAACAGTTAATCAAAACAATGAGCTGAAAAACGCTGAAAAGCTTTGTAGTGCTGAGGGGATGTGTAGATTTGATGATAATTCTCTGTGGGTATCATCACTATGAGCAACCCTGTTCACATTACAAATAGTCATTTGATCCATTGTTATCATAAAAATATTGATTATAGCTGCTATTAACATAATGATTTGCTAAATGTCCCTCACAGCCTTGAAATAAATCTAACAATAATGTCATATAAATTGTCCACAGTCTATAAACAACACTATGTAATCAAGCCCAGTGATTCACTTGGGCTTGCAAATTCTATAACTACGTATCAAGTACAGTACTACATAATGATTGTGCCATTTAAAAATGATGGAAGACTTTGCCTAAAAAAGTCTACTACTACTGCTTCTAGATGGTCACATATTTCAGTTTAGAGGAAAAGTCAAAGCACATACCTGAACAGCAAAAGAGAAGGTTGTCTACTGATGATATAAACAAGAGAAGTAACAACTAAAGGGGAGACAGAGTTTTATATAAGGGTCCTCTGGGGTGACAGAGAGGTGAAATGGACTGTGTGTGTGTGTGTGTGTGTGTGTGTGTGTGTGTGTGTGTGTGTGTGTGTGTGTGTGTGTGTGTGTGTGTGTGTGTGTGTGAGGTGGGGCATGATTTAGAAAAGGACAGGGACTATATGTGGATTATTAGCGGCTTTTGGGAGCATAAGTCTGACAGGCAGGATAATGAGCAAAGGGTTTGTTGCTGACTTCATTGCTGAAACAAGAGACAAAAAGACAGGTGGCAGAAAATAAACAGAGATAGAAGAGAGAGAATAACGAGAAGAACAATAAACTTTCAGGCAGGACTCAAAGGTGACGCAAAAAGATCCTGTGTAAGAAAGGCTCTGAGCATGATGGTACCCCTGGTCTGAACCTTGAGAGGCGATTCAAAGAAGGAAATTAACTTTAGTGCTCTGGAGGTAGTTCCTCTTTTTTTCCACTGACTTGTAAATTTTGGCTTACTGTGTGGGATTTCTCAGGGAAACTATTCCCAATCTTTATGTTTGAATGAACCGCAATATCATTTAAACATCAATAAATATATCAAATAACTAAATTAGAAACCTTGCACTGAAATGTGACACCTGTTTTGACAGAGCTCCTGCAAGATGCAAATAAATCCTTGTGATAGTCCCATGTACAGCATTTCCATAAAGACTCTTTGGGAATGACAGAAACACAACATGTGAAGAGTGAGAGAAAGAAGGAGTAACAACTTGCAGAAGTGCGCTTTAACATCTGTGTATATGGTAAGAAGAACTTAGATATTAATATGGACTATAATTAATTATTATAATTAATGTAGAATTATTTACAAAATAGAGCAGGGAGAAGATGATAAGAAATAGAATATTGTTTTAGATAAAATATCTCAAGATTTAGATTTTTTTTAGGGCATTCAAAAGAACAGATATCTGGCAGTGTAGAGAAGACGATGATGTCAATATTTTTTAAATACTGCCTGAAACTGAGTTGTATACTGGTGTCATTTTTATTGAACCACTTACTAAAAGTAGACAGCGTTATTATTTGTTTTTTTTTAATATTATGGATGGCACAAGTAGATATCACAAAAGATACAAAACATTAGGGCTGCAACCAACAATTCTTTTCATTATCAATTCATCTGCAGACCATTTTCTGGATTAATCGTTCATCCAATCTATAAAATGTAAGGAAACAGTGAAAGATGTTTATCACATTTTCCCAGAGTCCCTGTTAACGCCATCAAATGTCTTGTTTTGTCCCAAAACCCAAAGATATTCAGTTTCAAATGACATGAACCAGAGAAATGCAGCAAATATTCACATTGGAGAAGCTGTAACCAACAAATTATTATTTAACAAGAGACTTAAAGCAATTAATTGATTGATTTTCTGACAAAATAATCTATTCATTAGAAAATGGCAGTTTTCTTTCATTTCTTCAAATAACATGATCCAGTTGTGGCCTAGTTAGCAGAAAAAGCAATATACATCAAAAATAAAGAGCGACTTGCAGAACCAAGGTCACTTGAGAACCTGTTAAAAAGCAAAGCAAATTTGGTGTTCAACTGAATAAGAGGGACCTCATTTCAATCGGCTAACTATTAGAGACACACAGGTGGGAGGAAAGTGTTTTGTTTGATTTGTATAACAACTTGTATAACATTTATCCTTTCATGTTTCAGGTTTCTAGAAAACAACATGCTCCATTTGGTGACTTTGCTGCTGGCATCAGGTAAGTGAACATAAGAAACACTGTTATAATAACTGTTATAAACACTGTAATAACTTTATTGACGCTCCCCCCCCACCCAGGTTATGTCACTTTATGTTCACACATTCGAGAGTATCACTTTATAAAGGAGGCTAAGACATGGGAGGAGGCCCAGATATCCTGCAGAAACAACTACACTGACCTCGCTACTATTGGCAGCCATGATGACATGAAGAGGCTGGTGAACGTGACAGCAGCCAGTGGCATGACGGAAGAAATCTGGATTGGTCTCACAAAGACCAGGGTGGCATCCTGGCTGTGGTCTGTGGGAGAAACTCAGAGCAGTCATGGAGTGGCTGAATACACTAACTGGTCCATTGGTCCCAATTCCTCTCACCAATGTGGAGGCATGAGGGCTGATGGGAAATGGCGCAGTGCACTCTGTGAAACACCACTTCCTTTTGTCTGCCAGGAAGGTGAGTAAGATTACATCCATTTGACATTTACACTGCCTTATCTTATTCCCTTTTCGCGACAAGAGTTAGATGACCAACTTAGTGTAAAGATTTGGAATGGGTAAACTGAAAGGCCCGACTCTATCCAAAGGTACCAGAATCTACCCATCAGCACCTCTAAAGCTCACTAATTATATATCATAAGTGTAAAAAGTACAGAGTTTGGTTTAGAAATGCAACTGTAAGTGCGTGCAGCAGATTGAAAACTAGTAGTGTCTTTTTCTTTCTTTTTCTCCAAACACTTTAATCTCTTACAGAACATTTTGCAATATTCACAGAGGGGTCCAGTAGGGTGTATATTGTTCTTCAAGAGAAGTCCTGGAGGGAAGCCCAAGAGTACTGTCGACTGAATAACACAGACTTGGCCAGTGTGAGGAACCAGACTGAAAATCAGGCATTACAGCAAACAGTTTTTGAAAAGGGGTCATCGCTGTTCCTGATCTGGATCGGTTTGTTCAGAGATGAGTGGAAATGGTCGGACGAGAGTGACAGCTCCTTCAGATACTGGGAGAGAAGTCAGCCAAATGATGATGGAGTGTGCGCATTGTACAGACCCTCCGACAACAAGTGGTATGACAGAGATTGTACCTCCTCAAAATACTTCTTCTGCTATAGTGGTGAGTATATAATATCTGTAACAGTGTCTGTTTTGTTTTGTTTTGTTTGTTATGAAGGGAATTAATTACCTGCTTGCAAAGATGGATGTGAAATCCAGATTTTGGTTCTCAATTGTCCTTGTTAGTTACCACATCATTTAAAAGCCATCCTTAACATGATTGGTTTAACAAAACAAACTAAGTGTATACTTGATGTAATGGATTATTTGTTTGTTTAACCAAAGAAAAGAAAGTCATGAGGCAGATCGTGAGGGTAGAAATGAAGTCAAATTCGTCCTTTGACTTCAGTGATTCTGCTGTGAGCAAAGCCATTTTGAACCAAGTAAGTTTTACATTTCCTCAAATGTAGGTGCTGTTACGTTAATGTTGCTTTTTTTTTTAAGCAACAATAATGATATTTGCCAGTGTACACTATACTATATACTACACTACTAATACACTACACTATACTATTTTACTATATTTGCCAGTATATTTACACTGGCAAATATAGTAAAATATTAACTTGCTCATTTGAATGTAGGTGTGGTTTTTTCTTGCTTCCATAGATCCAAAAAAGGTATGACGGGGTCAAACTTCAGTGGAGTGTCCAGCCAGATGGGAAGATTTTCCATAAAAAATAAAAGAAGAAAGAAAGAAAGAAAGAAAGAAAGAACTGAAGCCTGTTATAATGCCACAATATAAAACTACCTGTTTCTCCAGAACATCTGAGCATAAAAATACTCTGCAGCTGCAGTGGTTACCACAGCCAGTAAAATCAGAGAAATGAAACCGCAATCAGCTGATTAATAGAGTTGTACTGAAGTGAATACAAAACCTGATGTATTTTATAAACAGCACAGATCACTGTTTGAAGCGAAGCCTTTTGAAAGAGCTTTGTGATGCATTTGGCAAATAAGAATTATCTTAAAAAGTCAATTGATCATTTTATCCTAGTTTAGTACCCTGCAGTCAGTATACGTGTGATGACACTGTACACACAGATCTTATTCATGTACTGATTAATATTTACATTTTTCTTGTCTTCAGTGTTTTATGTTCACTCTTATTTCTCATTAATAACTGGCAGTAGGTGTGCTGTGTCCTTTTGTTGCAGAAAAATAAGCTAAAATAAATACACAACCTTTTCCCTTCTGACAAGTCAATGCCTGAAATCATTATCTGGAAGGGGAACAACAGTTTATAACTTTTAAGTCTGTTTACAGGTCCTGAGGAGTACTGCTGCATAGGTGGGAAAAAAGCTATGTAAAGCTTTCTGAGCCTCCAGAGGGAGCTGCACAAAATCTGATAAATTGCCTGATGATGAGATGCCTGCTGCAGAGTTGCATTCTGGGTAATGTAGGCACCAGGTTGACAGTAAGAAGAATGCATAAAATAAAAAAAATAAACACACCTAATGCATTTTTCTTTAATAATTTTATGTTCACTAATAATTTGCATTAAAAAAGGCTGACAATAGCAATACAATGAGACAAGCTCAATTGATCTGGAGTGAAAACAACAAAAAAAAAAAAAAAAAAAAAAAAGAGGAGAAAAACAGGAATCTGCGTCACTGGTAACTCACCATCATTTGAATCTGATGGCTTGGCTCACTTAACGTGTAATCCACATCTGACCCACAGTACTGCTTGAGACTGAATAGCTGAACATAATATTATATGCATTATGGTGCTTGTTTATAAACACAGTGATGAAAATATAAAATACAAACAGATTTATAACTGGCAGTGAAATAACAAGTTCATTTCAGTAGTTTTTAACTTATTTAACTGACCTCTGAAAGATAAACTGACCTACATTATTTTTTTTTACAGTTTGAATAATAATGTTTGAATGTAAATAAAATAAAAGTTATTTCCTGGGTGAGCTGGCACTGAAAGGTTTAACATTTCCCATTAATATGTCTAAAAACAACTAAAACTATGTTACATATTGTGTTGATTTGTGTACTTACATTGTCCCTTATGTTCCCAACTGTGTTCAAACCCAGAGAAATCAGAAATTTTATTCAAGGTAACCGGCTAGTTGCTATAACTTCCGGGAAACACTGAAGAGTGAAGGAAGTTGGGAAACGTGACTAAACGTGACATGAATAAAACTTTTAATACAAACACTTCGACCGTGAACATGCTTTCTATCACGTCAGACAGATCTGGTGGTTGTTTAACAATGAAGACAACAACTCTCACCATATGTCACAACGTCATCAAACTACATCTTTTGTTACTGTTTTGATGTGGGAGACACATCTAGCAGCAGAAATGACAAACAAATATAATACGATTCAAACAGTATTGCTAACCTATGAACTGAACAGAGCCACATCATTTCACTACCTGTATAAACTGCTTGGCACTCTCAGCACAGCATTACAATCGTGTGTTTTTGTACAAAGCAAATTTATACATACTGAGTAAACACTTAGAAGTCACAGACTTCCAAGATTTTAAAATACCAGGTGTCACTGTTACAGCAATGTTGCATTCAGACGGTGTAAACTAAAATCACCTCAACAGTCCTGCATGTTTTCTCTCCATGCTAATGCTTCAGACTTCAATTTTAAAATGTCCTGCAATAAGGTGAAGTGTTACAATTTTCTAATTCTAACTTTTTAGTGGTGCAATTCATACTGGCCTCTTTCTAATAGTAAAACCCGTTTACGATAATAACTTTCTCATTTTAGGTTCATGATTATATTTTTCCCCCCAATAGTTTGACTGTTAAAACTAAACTAAACCAATAAACCTGTACTTGAATCACACCGCTTGATTTATTATTCTACGGAATCATTTTCCTTCTCACACACCTACCACACTGCTAATATACGTACACAAATATAGATGCGAACCAGTAAAAACACAACATCAGTTACTCCATGAGGATGCATGAGGGGAAAAAAACCCTGTCTTTCCTCACATCATAGTGTAACATGTATGCTTGCACACCTTCCCTTCAGCATCCATTCCTCGAGTAACCGCCTACAGGTCTTTCTTGACCTCTGGCCGATTCTCTTCTGTCTTGTTGGGCTCTTTTTCGTTGGGGCTCAGCAGCTGTAGCAGTCCGTTCATGGCTTTTCTGATCTCAGCACCGAACTTATGGGCATCCTGAAGGGGAGACAGGCGATAAAAAATTAGAAGAAAAGTGTTTGTGTCAATCTAAATAATAACAAAGAAATTTTACACTTCACAACCTCGGTAAAAAACAACAACTCTCAACTCGTAAGTATGGATATCAATATCTGTCTCACAAATCCAGTACCAGCCTGACTGTAAGGCTTAGCACTCTTTTCCTTTTTTTACAAACTACAGAAGTAATACATATCACACATTACAGGGCATGCACATATTCTATTACTTGAAATACACATATCTTGTGTACTCTTTCTAAATAGAAGCAATTTCAAAAATGGTGTCCAGAAGACGTAATGCGCAGCATAAAAATAAATATTCAGTCCTCGCACAGATGTTCCTGTCCCAAGATAAGGAGTTAATTTTGTTCACTTCTTATGCAGCATAAAATGACTACTTTCATTAAACTCACAGTGTCTGGACATGAGTGTTTGCACGCGATGTGGAAGTTCACATAATTTCCCAGAACTTGGTAGCACAACCCATAACCGTCATCAGCCACCTGAAAGAGATACAGACAACATTTATACTCTTGCTGTCTACATACAACCTAAGTTGTATGTGTAATATTAAAAATATTTGTTTATAATTTTACTGTCAAGACTGCAAAAAAGCATGGAATGGTATAGTTATTTCTCTAAAACTTAAACTGTGTACAGCCATTAAGAAGGGTTGCTTCCACTGGAAAGAAACACTGAAGGAGTGTCTATTAATGTAAAAGCTACTGTATGGTGTAAAAGGAAAATGTAATCACATAGATAGTAAAGTTACTTGTCACAATGGCAGTGTACATTAATTCTAGTTTCCAGTTTAGCCATTAACTTAAACAGTTTAAGGACTGATGCGCTGTGGGCAACACTGACCGGACCAAAGCCCCCTCCACAGGAGACATACTCTGGGTGGTTGACCAAGTCAAACATATGTAGCTGCTGGAATGGAATCTGACTGGTGGACAGCCGCCAGGGCTCAGACAGCACCTGAAATACCCAAGAAGCCATCGCATCAGTTTGCTGAAGTCGCTGATCCAGTAAAGAGATAAATACTCATAATGAACTGGACAGTCTGATATAAATAAAGTCACAAACCTCTTTCAAGAAAGGAGACTCCACTCCAAGGTATTTGGACACCACGTAGAGGCAAAAGAGGTGTCTGTCGATGCCACCTCCAGTCATAGCCAAGCGGTAAAGATTCTGGTGCTTCTCTGACGCTGCGTGGAACAAACGCCTGCACACATCTGCTGCCTGGTGGAGAATGGCATGAGCGGCGTGACTGCTTGGCATAGCACACATTAAAAATAGACACCGTATGAAGAAAATAGCAATTAGACATAATCATTAGTAATGTGGATTTATTTTCCTCAGAAAGCCTTAAATCATCCTCATTTTGAGTGACAAAAACCAATAGAAATCAAGAGACAGTTTCCGTGGTCTCACCTCTCCACCCTCCAGCGCTCGGACGAAGGCACTGCTCTCATTGGTACAGGAGCGAACAGTCTCGGTCCTGCCCTCCCTGAACAGACGGGTCATGGAGGCTTCATACGTCAAACAAAACTTCTTACGGTTCTGGAACGCAAAAACAAAACTCACATGCAACAGATAATATTGACAGTCCAAAATTCACTGTGTCCAAATGTCCAAACTTAATGTAGCACAGAGCCAGTATGGACTGCCTTTGTGTTCACTGTGTTGTAACCATGCAGGTGTATATAGGTTAAATTTCTGAGGGAGGCTCACCCTGTAGTTGGCCAACTGAAGAGCCATCTGAACGAAGGCATCTGGACTGACTCGACACTTCTTGATCTTGTCTTTGCCAAAGTCTCTAAAGACAAAAACGTGGAAGTCCACATCGTCAGCCAGGGCCTGGGCCACTGCCAGAGACTGGGAGATCTGCTCCTCACACTGAGACAGACACATTCAAATGGTTAACATCAACAAGAT